TTCTTTTGATACTGGTGATGGAACCCAGGGGCACTTTACCACTGAACTATATCTCCAGTGCTTTTTATTTTTTATTCTTGAGACAGGATCTCACTGAGTTCCYGAGAGTCTTACCAAGTTACTGAGCATAGCCTAGAAGTTGCAATCCTCCTACCTCAGCCTCCCAAGTGGCTGGGATTATAGGCATGTACTGTTGCGCTTGGCAACACACTCATTCTTTATGGCCCAGTGTATGTTATATAAAAGTATGTGCTTACTCTACCAAAACTGGGAAATAATTTTATTCTCTTAAAGCATTTCACCGTTTACCATGCTTTCCCTTTCTTGGGATCTCTTTGAACACTTCCTTTAAATCTTTAATCATTTCCTGAATAGTTGATGTGATTGCTTCTACTCCTTTCCCCCCAACAATGTAGGGAAACTGCCCCCCTCCCCCCTTCTGAGTGGGTGGAGAGTATTTTGCTGCTGAAGATCCTCTGGTTAAAACAGATTTCATCTCAGAACTATTACATGGAGGCTATATTTAATTATTTTTGTAATGGATCACCATATACAACATTTGTTGATATACTAATAAACACTTATGAGAAAGTAAACTTATTCTTTAGTAGTGGTTTATTTATATAATTGATTTTATTTTATTTTTCGTTTCATTTTGGTTTTATAAATGATATTCTTCTAACAGATTCTACAAATTGATTTATACTGAAATGAGTCTGTGCTGTATCATCTTAAATAGTTATCCTCGTATTTGGGTAAATAACCATGGTGTTTAATAATTGCAGATCTTCCTTGGCTGTTTACTTTTAATGTGAAATTTTATCCTCCTGATCCTTCTCAGTTGACTGAAGATATTACCAGGTATTTTATATTTGCATATTAAAATGAATCTTAGAGCTCTCCTTTATTTCTGTGCTCTGTGGAATCATGGTAGTAATCTCAGGATTGAACATTAAAACAAAGTTTTAGTAGGTTGGGTTTTAGAAATTTTCTTGGAAATGGGTCCTTTCCTAAATAGTTTTGAAATGTTGCCAGTTGCAAAAATCGTGTTTACTTCTCTTTAGTTCTCTCTTTTAAGTAATAAAATACTTTTAAAAATGGTATTGCTGGCAACTTTGTTTGTAATTTAAATATATGTTCTTCCAGTCCACATAATCTCTGAATAGTTTTCTTGGCCTCCTCAAAAGCTACCCCACCTTCTAAATGTCAAAGACCTAATCACCTTTAGACTGTCAGGCCCCAAGTTAGGCAAGTGTCTGATCTCAGCTGTGCCCCTGAGGCCTTCAGTTAGCACAACAGATTCTATTATATGCTTTTACAAAGACACTGATGTTCAGTATTTTAGATTTTAATACTGAGGTGGTTTTTATTATATGAGCCTGTGTACTTCTCTCTTATTATAAAGATGATATAAGGGTAAATGAATGAAATTATTTTAAAAAGTCAGTTGAACTGGTAGTTTTGTTTGTCCTCCTACCTCCCCTATTTCCCTGCCCCAGATAAAACTAAGAGTATGTAAAGGCAATAGCCATTTTCTTTCCATTTCCTTGAAGATTATGTGGACTATAAGAACATATGCTTAAATTGCAAGTAAAGGGTTGTTCAAGAGCAAGAGAACATTTACTGATCCTGAGAGTGGCATCTAAGGACAGTGAATCATCAAGTGCCTTGACATCTTAGCCCTGCTAGATTGGTAGTAAATGATGAAGTTTCTTAGATTTGTTAAGAATAGTGTAAAGGGCTGGACACACGCTGACTCAGGAAGATCACAAGTTCAAAGCCAGCTTTGGCAACTTAGTGAGACCCTGTCTGAAAATAAAAAGTAAAAGAGGACTGGGGATGTGGCTTGGTCATTAAGTGCCCCGGGTTCAACCCCCCACTATCGCCCCCTGCAAATAGTATAAAGGGATGATTCTTATATATTTTTAAACAGGTTATTTACATGGCTAAGGAAAATTGTATAGCATTTGTACTATTTAGAAAACAAGAGGGTCTTAGTGAAAGACTGCTTATCTCTCTGGGTTCTGTGCCTTTGATGTTCTCTGCTAGCCTAGTTTTTTATTGTTGTTGTTGAACATCAAGTTGTATAGATGCTTAAAATGTGTAGTATCCATGTGAGGTAGGAATGGTGGAAGTTTCTTTTCTATGTTACAAAAATAACAGGCCTTTTCTTCATTTTTTATTACTTGTTGCTGAATAGGAATGTACCAGTATACCAATTAATTACTATTAATTTAGTTCTGATAAAAGTAGCTTCAGCTAGTAAATAATAAATAGTAGCTTCTGTAACTGCATAGCAAGCTGCTTAAAGCGTTAACCTGGATAGGTTCGTGTGTGTAGGGTACAGAAGCTTCACTGCAGGGGAGTGCCTTTGAAGAATGTACATAATGTGACTTTGGGACCCAAACTGTACACTCCTTTTTGCGGTAATTTGTTTGAGGGATGATAATCCTTTGGTGATTGTAACTTCATTACTTTGGGTTTACATATAAATTGGGTTTAAACATTTCTCCCTGTCTGGTGGGAGGAATAATAGAATCTTCTGTGCTAGCTCTTGCTGATTTTTATTTGAAGTTTTTAGGACTTAAGACTTTAAAAACAGAGGAAAGGACCAGTGTGAAAAGTAGTGACAATAATATAAAAAGAAGCAGCAGGATGAAATCTTTGTGTTAAGGTCTTGAAGTACCACAAAATGTGTAGAACAAGCTCTGTGTATTACTGATTAAGAATTTGAGGGTAACCTGGTATCATAGTTTAAGATTTAGTTTTCTAAATTAGGTACAGTTGTTATCATATTTTCTGTAGGTCAAGGAAAMATAATCATCCTTAAAAAGAGAACTTACACAATGAATAAAAATACTCAGACTGCAGGACTAATGAGAAGACTTTTATTTTCAGGAAATTATTGAGTACTTGATTTGCTAACTGTGGGACCACAATGATGATCTATCCCTGCCCAGTGGTAGATTTGGGTGGCAATTCAGGTGTAACTGAACTGGAACTGTGTGGTGTGGGATTCGGTCTCTGACTCATGAACAGATACCTGCCCAGAAGCCACCACTCCTGAACCTGTCAGGTAGAACTTAGGAAGAGTATTGGACTCTAAAAYCTGGCCAGGCAAACATGATCACAGAAAAAAGGTAGCCAGTAGCCAGCAGGAATGATAGTCTCTTAAAAAAAAAAAAATCTTCAAGAATGAGGGCCCTGCCATCTATTTCAGAGGGCTCAATGGTGAGGTGACCTTAGCAAGTGGTGAAATTTGAGAGGAGAAATCCGGTTTTATGATCTCACCAAAAGGAATTGATAGCGGGGCTGAAAAGAAGAAAGATCCCCATAAAATAGGTATCACATATTTTTTCATGTTAATTTAGTGGAAAGCAAAGATTCTGTTATAACTGTGTAGTAAGCCACTTGAAGCATTAGAATTGCTCTTGTTATTATAACTATTAGTTATTGATTCAGGCACCATGCCAAGTATTTTATTTATAGTATTTAATTTTTACCCTCACTTTCAAAGGAAGGTAGAGTTTGTCCCATTTTATAAGCAGCAGATTAGCTCAAGGTCACATGAAGTCAGCTATCTGACTTACTGGGATAGCTGCTTCTTTAAATGAGTGGTCAAGTAAGGGCTTCAAACTAGATTTAATTATAATTGATATTAAAGGCATCTCAGGAAAAAAGGAATATGAGATATTAATAGGAAATGGGTAGAGATGGTCAAGGGTGGGTGAAATTAGCTTTTCTTGCAAATACTGGACTGCAGTGATTTTTTTTTTTGATATTGTATTAATCTTTACAACTTTTAGGAAGTGTGCTCATTTTTATTACAGTTTTAAATCCAAGGAGACAGTTGAAGTGATTGAATTTTTAACTTTATTGTAGTAGTTATTGTAAACTTACCAGAATTTACCTGAACAGCCGTTCAGAATTTTTCTTCTCTTAGACTTCTATAAATAAGTTATAAATTTAGAAGTCCGAAGAGCAAGGTGAGACTTTTTATCAGAGAGGACTATTTGTGCTGTGGATATGAATATAATGTATATAGTATATATTTATTTTCAAAGAAATAGTAGAATTTAAGGAATTATGAGTGCTTCAGAGTTAACTAGTTATTCTTCTGTGACCCTTTGCTCTTCTTCACAGATACTTTTTGTGCCTTCAGCTTCGAAAAGACATTGCCTCTGGCCGCCTGCCCTGCTCTTTTGTGACTCATGCCCTCCTGGGCTCCTACACATTGCAGGCTGAGCTTGGAGACTATGACCCAGAAGAACACAGCAGTATTGACCTCAGTGACTTCCAGTTTGCCCCTACACAGACTAAGGAACTGGAAGAGAAGGTGGCAGAGCTGCATAAAACTCACAGGTCTGTAGTTGATCTCCTTGCTAGAGAGAGATTGGCCATGGTAGATTTAAATTGTTTGTCTTTGTAACCCTGGCTGGTTATTTGAGCATGGTTTCTAAGATTATTAGTTTTTCCTTTTGGAGCGTCACCCAGACCCATCAAGACAACCTGTAACCCTTGAGATATTCTTTCAGTGTTTTTATGACTATATGAGAGTTGTGTGCATGAAACTAAATTGCCTTCATTTTTGGTAAAAATGTACTTTTCCATGTGACATTTTCTTGTCTCTTTCCCCAGTTTTATCCCTTAGCATATGTACAGGAAGCAAATATACCCACATATTGTTGGCATTTACATTTCTTCCCTTTCAATTATTTTTATTACTGTATTCRATAAGAAAGCCTAGGGATAATGAGTCCTTGGGGTTTGAGTAAAAGTGTGGGTGATGATGGATGTAGGAATAGTTACTGAAGGTGTACCATGATTCCATGATCCACAGATGTCGCCCTTTAATTTAAGTAAGGATTACTTAACTTAATAGCATATACATTTGGAGTAAGAATATATATGTGCAAAAAGACTATGGCTATTTACACTAGTTTTTATAACTCTAGCTACAAAATTATAAATTGTTTTTTGTTGTAAAACTAGTTTTAAAATTGTGAGTGAAATAATTTGAAAGGAACTTTAAGAGACTGAGAAGTTTTAAATGGGCCACATTCATGACTTTGCTTCAAAAAATGATAGAGTATTTGACTCTAAATATTTTCTTGTGAACTTTATTTGCATTCTATTCAACAAACATTTATTCTGTGATTTAAATTTGAAATACCAGGTACTAAAATGCCATGGGTAATATGAAGACTCATGGGACCTAGTTTTGTCTGCCAGAAACTTAAAACTTGTTTAGTTGGGGACATAGGATGGAATGGAAATAATTTTGGAATGAAAATAATATTAGTGTGGACAGAATATGATATGTTATTTATCATAGGTATAAAATCAAATACAAGTAATTCTGGTCTGTCTTATGATTAAGTCTAGCAAAATTAAACTGAGGAATTAAAAATAGTCTATTTACTATATTTTATTCTCAGTTAACTTATGTTGTGCCTATTATTCCTAGAGCTTTTTTCCTTAGTGGAAATAATCAAAAGCATCATTTTAAGATAAAAATGACAAGGATGGACATGTGCCTCCTTGCAGACAGTCAGTTAAGATTAGAAAATCTTAAGAGGAAATGCTAGAGATTCAGAGATCAATCTCCTTACCTGTTCCCCATGTCTTGGCAAATTTAGCTGCATTACTGCCTCTAACCCAAACACTCCAAGATCACACATCCTTTCCCCCATTTTGAGTGCATTTATTTTTCATCTACCAATAAGACAATGCTGTTTCTTTTCATTCTTAGGGGCTTATCTCCAGCACAAGCTGATTCTCAGTTCTTAGAAAATGCAAAGAGGCTTTCCATGTACGGCGTTGATCTACATCATGCCAAGGTAAATGCATTGAGGAGTAGCTTTATTGCAGTCTATTAACTGAAATTTTGAAAAGGTTCCAGTGTTAGAATAGTTTAGCTTGCTTTGGAAAGAGGCTATTATATTAGCCTTCACTTCAGGGTCTTTGTAATGTTTCTTTGGTGATTAATTATGAGGTTCATGGTTGTGGGAGGCATTGTTTGTTCTGTATTTTCTTCTTTTCCTTGTCTTTCATTAGTACCCTTTCATTGATACTTACCATAAGACTCACTTTGTCAGCCTTTCCACCCTTGTCCTCTTACCCTGGTTAGTCTGAGTCAATTTTTGCTAGTCCAGATGCTGCACTATTGCAGCTTCCTCTCTTTTCTGTTTAGGAAGGAGTGTTCAATTCTTAGCAAGTATGAAAGGGCAAAAGCAGAACAGCTATGACTGCCTTCCAGAAAGCTCCTGGRTTGTGAAGGAGACCTCCTAGATTTGGGATTTTCCCTGTGTGAAAATAAAGTGGAATGATCCAGGCTCCAGGTGATGAAAAACCTTCAGTCTAATTTCAGAGGTAGTAAAAGAATGGAATAATGGAGACAGGTGATAGGATAAGGTGAGTTAGTAACAGGTAATAAATATTACCTACTTCTTGATTCCAGCTTAGATGATCATAGAGTGATGAGAATTTAGGAGGAGAATGATAGACAAAGTCAAAGACAAGTTTGGTTTTGCAAAATATATACAGTCAATACACTGAGAGATAGAACCTCTGGTTCCCTGCTTTTAAAGGATCCTGCCAATCTCTAGATGTACCATAGAAAGACCAGATTATATGATTTGAGAAATCTCTAGAAAAGCCTCCTACTCAATATAACTTTTCTCCCTGGGCTTCAAATTTATAATTCTTATTTTTTTGTTATTAATCATACTTTATATTTGCAAGGCACTCTTTTGTCCTCAGCAACTTCCTTTATTTTAAAAGTATTTTTTCTTATCAAAAAAGTAATATGGGGTTGGGTTATGGCTCAGCGATAGAGTGCTCACCTAGCACCGGYGAGGCCCTGGGTTTGATCCTTAGCGCCACATAAAAATAAGTAAATAAAATAAAGGTATTGTGTCCCACTGTAACTAAGAAATTATTTAAAAAAGCAATACATGTTTATCACAGAAAATAGAGGCAATCAGAAGAAAATAAAAATCACTTAAATCTCTTTATGCAAGAATAAGCAGGTAGGTTTTGATACATCTTCTTTTTATTTTTTTTCATCTCTGAACAGTTGAATTCTCATGCCTTTTAAAAATGGAATCATATTGCAAGTATCATTTTTTTTCAAAGTTTTTTTGTTTTTGTTTTTGTTTTTTTTTTTTTTTAGTTGTAGTTAGATACAATATTTTATGTGGTGCTGAGGATTGAACCCAGGGCCTCATGCATGTTAAGCGAGTGCTCTACCACTGAGCCATAACCCCGGCCCCTGTTTTTTTTTTTTAACTGCATAAAGACATTTTTTTTCCTATTACTGAATAGACACTGACAGTATCAATTTTAACTGGTAGATGCTGTATTCCTTTAATTTAAAAAAGCATTTGCACACATACTAACTTAAAATTTGAATGTATTTATTTTTATAACTATATAAAACACATTGAAGAGAATGATTTACCCAAAGTCACATATTTTTAAGCAGTCCCTTTGCCTGATACCTTTTGATAAATCCTACTAGAAGATGAAATTCAGCCTTCTAGTGCTTGAGTGTTTTTTGCCTTATTTTCTATATGGTGAGTATAGGCTGGAGGTTAGACAAGAAACAGCAATACGGGAGGTAGGAGAGAATATGTTTGGGACCAGATAGATACCTCACCTCGCTGACACATCTGCTGACACATCTGCTTTTTTGAAACTTGTTACTCTTGCCATATTTCTTTCTCTTTTTTTTCTAGTGCTGAGGATTGAGCATGGCTTCATGCATGGTAGGCAAGCACTCTACAACTGAGCTACAACACCCGCTATATAATTCTTATATCTCTCTTTTTTTTTTTTTTTTTTACTCTGTGGATCATTAGTTAGAAGTTGATTCATAGATGGCAGTACTATAGGGTTTTAGGATTCTTGTTTTTCGGTGCTGTATCTTAGAAAAGTACAAAGGTTGCATACTCTATTACAAGTATGATGGCAGTTTTTGCTAATGTAGTTAGTTAGGAGCAGAATGCTGTTAAAAAAAAACAGAGTACTATTTGTTTCATTTATTCATTCTGTTTATCATTTCTTAGACTCCTTTAATAATATTTGATAAGCATGATTTGTGACTCATGGAAGAGAATAGATGTAATAGTTTAAAGGAACTTTTCATGTAGATTAAAGTTTTGTACTTTTCTAAAATATTTCTTGCTGCATTGAGATAAGATTTTGTTTCTTTTTTATTTTAAGAGTTCTTAATGGCACACTCAAGTTGGGATAAGTTGAAGAGTGTTGACTAGAGGATTCTTGACAAAGGGGAGTGGAAACCACAAGAGTGCTATTATAATCCTTCAGCTGCTAATAGCAACTGTTTATATATATATATTTTTTATTTGGGGTGCTGGAGATTGACCCCAGGGCCATTAATATGCTAGGCAAGCACTGTACCACTGAGCTATACCCTCAAACCAACAGCATCCTTCTTGACCCTGTAGGTCCAAAGGGGACAGGGCAAAGAGTGGTTACCAAAATCCAGAAGGAGTGATGTGTCTGGAGAAGGCTGTCTTTAGAGGAGCCCTCATAGAGGGACACAGCCAGCTTCATGTGACCACACAGGGAGGGGATCTGGTTATAAAATCCCAGACTTCCCTGATTTTGTGCAATAACTCTTTTTTTTTTTTAAAGAGAGAGTGAGAGAGGACAGAGAGAGAGAGAGAGAGAGAGAATTTTTAATATTTATTTTTTTTAGTTCTCTGCGAACACAACATCTTTGTTGGTATGTGGTGCTGAGGATCGAACCCGGGTCGCACGCATGCCAGGCGAGCTCGCTACAGCTTGAGCCACATCCCCAGCCCTTGTGCAATAACTCATCAGATCCTGAATCTACTAGACATGGGATCTTATTGGTGTCCTTATGGAGAAGCTTCTTAAAGGAGCAATGAGCAAGGCAGGGAGGTTGCTCCTTTTTATTCAGTCTTTTTTTTTTTTTTTTTTTTGACTTGGTTGCTGAGTGGTATAACTCAGACCTGGAGGATTTAGACATGCTTTTTTTCCTTTTCATTTTATTCCTTTTCTCTCTAATTTCTATTCACACAAATAATTACTGATCATTCTAAAACAATAAGTAAAACAACCAAAAATCAACCCATTTACTTGAATATGGGTGGTGTTTATTTTTAAGCCAGATAAAATAGCTTCCTTGTCCTATCTGAAGATTGCTACAGACCAGACATGGCTTTGTTCAGTGTTTCAAATGAGGGTTGCTCCGGGTTGTGGTGAGAACATGCTATCTTAGGCCATGTCTCCCCTTGCTCCCTCTGGCCATGGACAGTGAAGTTTTTGGCAAACACACCCTTTGGGTCTGGGGCCAAGTAGCTTGGGCACCTGGGCCTAATTCACTGCAGCTTTTTATGCTTTATTCCTAGAGAGAGTTATGGCTGCCAGGGTAAGTACAAGTAAAGCATCATATAAATTAATTTCTTTTTTTTTCCAGTCTGTTCTGTATGGTGGGGATAGGCTGGAGGTTACCCAAGAAATAGCAATAAGGGAGGTAGGAGAGAATGTGTTTGGGACCAGATAGATAACCCACCTCTGTTCAGGTTGGTCTCACATAACTTTATTTTGTGCTTGTATATCAGTTTCAAGAGTCACAGCAGATAAAGAAATTACATCAGTTGCCTAGTACTATACTTTTATTTTAAAATATTTTCTAATATAAATTGTGTTTTATTCTTAGTATGAGAGTCAAAATGTTAAGCTTTTCATGAATTGGGATGTAGACTAAATATGATAATTGTCTCAGCTTTTTTTGTGAGATTTGTTCCAACTTGTTAATGGTTTCTGAAAATGTGAATACCTCTGAAAAATACATGCCAGTTTTACATATCTTGAATGTGATCCCCTTCAGGATAAACCGTGATGTGTGAATTTTGAATATTGTGCACATTAGATCTTCAGCACTACTTGAAATATGAGGAGACCGTTTTTCACTTTTGTCTGTCTGTTTTAAAAAAATCTTTCAGGCTCGAGATTATTTTACATTGTCATATATTTCAAATTAAAGATCTGGGGAAAAGAAGTTCAAGAGTCTGCAGTCTTCTGAAATATGCTGGTCAAAGGAGTGCTAAATGAGAACTGGATGCTGTCAGCACTTATAAGTTATTGAAAAATAGCTTKAAAGAATTCAGAGATTTCTGTTTCAATGCTGTCAGACTAGAGAAGTTTCTATGAGGGTTTGCTGTTTTGCCAAGTTTAGTCATAATTTTAACAGCTATTGGCTAGCATTATTCATCTGAGGTAAAGTTGAAAGTTGCCTAAAGTCAAATGGCTGAGCATACCTTAGGAAGGCCAACAGACTGACCTGAGGGCTGGAGTATCCTCCAGGGAACATATTATATCATCCGGATCTTCAAGATATCTAAAGCTACTTCTGTTTCCCTTCTTTCCTGTTAGCTCTTCATAGAGCTTGAGAATGTATGGATTAGGCCTTTTGAAGAATCCTGTGTTCTATAATCATGTTGTCATATTTCTTTGGCAAAGCAAACCTGAATCCTAAAGATGAMGATTAAAATATACATGTGTTCTGTTAATTTATGTACCTGCACTAACATTTTAAATAGAAACCTGTTAAGTTGGCATTCCTGATCATGGTTTGAGAGGGGCTAGTCAGCCCCCTGATCTGTATAACTATTATAGTTCTAATTGTGGTCACATGAATTATGCTTGGCAGGACTCAGAAGGCGTGGACATCAAGCTAGGTGTGTGCGCTAATGGGCTCCTCATTTATAAAGATAGACTGAGAATCAATCGTTTTGCTTGGCCGAAGATCCTAAAAATTTCTTATAAGCGCAGTAACTTCTACATTAAAGTTAGGCCAGCAGAGGTAAGTAATGTCCTTGTCATATTGAATCAGTTGTCAGTGTTTCCTTTTACTAAAAAGAGCTAAATAATTTTTCACAAAGTCATGAGGATAAGAAATATTCTTTATTCTTCTATGGTAAAATGGTCAGGGCTTCTTGATAAATCTGTATAAGCATGTTCCTCTAGTTAAATGGATTCAACCACCATGTCTTGCACAGCAAGAAAAAGTAATATATGTCTGGCACATAGTAGGAACTCATTTCTTCTTTTTGAATCAGTTAAGTGGTGGAGTAAATAGAAAGGTGGAAAAATGCATTTTAGTGGACATGAAGAATAGCAGTTTATGTGAGTAGTAGATACTTGCTTGTCATAGAAAATAGTATTGCAATCTATGAAAAATTCATTTTGTCTATTATTTTAGATATATATGCCTTTCTGAAGAAGAATTCCTACAGAAACAACTAAATCCATGTTTATCAGTAGCTTCTAGTCAGAGCTTAAGGAGATATGCTAATTCATTTTATGGATTTGTTCCAGCTGGAGCAGTTTGAGAGCACCATTGGGTTCAAACTGCCAAACCATCGGGCAGCAAAGAGGCTATGGAAAGTGTGTGTGGAGCATCATACTTTCTACAGGTAACTTAAAGAAGTCACTTTGGCATTGCTGTTGGTGCCCTCCATGGATCAGGAAGTGGTAGTGGCTAGTATAGCAGATGCATCAACCCCTGCCTTAGGGTTCTTTGCTTTCCTTGGTGCCACATCTCATCTGTCACATATGGTCTATTCCCCTGTCCTTTTCTTTGCCTAAGGCTATGCTGTGATCTCTCTTTGCAGTTGCCCAAAACTTTGCCCCTTCCTTCCATAACCACCATACTACTCCCTGCCTGCTGCTGTTCATTCCGCTGTCACTCATCTTAGGTTTGATTTAGATGTTGTCATCAGCTCCCTCACTTCACCTCTTGCCCAAACCAGCCTACACTCTGTGGTCTGTCCCTTAGGCAATTTTTTCAAGAGTGCTATATCCTCTGCTCTCTTTCCATATCCAGTTTCCTAAACTGGTACTGGATTAGTTCTGTGTACCCATTAATTCCCACCTTACCACTTCTGTACCTGTGCTGTTAAGTGCCATCTTAAGTTGAACAACTAGGGTGATACAAGGAGCTCTACATTATAACAGAACACACCTCTGTGGATCAATGCTATTACAGATAAATAATTTCTCACATTAGTTGGATCCTCAGTGCTCCTAAACAATCAGTCTTTTCTGCCTTTTGACATCCCAAATATTCCTATTCTTCTAGAGTCCCCAGGCTCACTTGCCTTTTCCCTCAGGTACTCCCCATTTTGTTGTGTGCTTAGAGTAGAAATTTAAGTCATGAGCACCTTTTCTTCTGCACTTTTTCTTGTAATTAGGAATTACTTCCCTTCCCTGCATTCATTGTTTTACTCCTTTACTGTTMCAAGAAAAGGATAGTTATTCCTTTTGCTTAAACCCTTATTTCATGCCTCACAAGAGGATCCTGCCAGGTAATTTTTTTACTTTCTAGTGGGTGCCTTTGACTTTGGCCAATGAATATGTTTATGTCTTGCTCTGTTAAGAACCAAAAAGTCCTCAGATGACCATCTTTAGTTTATATCCTGCCTCCTTTTGTACTTTTCTTCAGCAGCAGATTTTTATCAAGTAGTTTGGTTACCTTCATTTCCTCCATTTTCTGTTACTGTGGTCTGCAGAACTGTGTATCTAGGCCCTTCATTTTAAAGATTTTTGCTATGGACTTAGGGTCTGATAAGGTTCCACCACCTTCTATCTTTATAACTGGTTAGTTCCTCAACCTCTTTGTGCTTCAATTTTATCTTCCACATGAGATGCTAATAATAGTAATATGTACTTATTGGATTGTTTTGAAATTCTAATGAGATTATACATGTGAAACAAACTCAGAACCATTTCAGGTGTATAATAATGTTTATCACTATCACCTTTGCCATCACCATCACCATCACCCTCATGCCATCATTATTAATTTGGTACCATAGTGTGCTATTTTTAAAAGTGAATTGTCAGTACAAACGACTCCTTCTTGAGGTTAAATTGAATAGATTTGTTTTCAAAACTGTTCTAATATACCCATGTTAGAGGAGAAATATAAATCATAAAATATCCTTGAATCACCTTGACTCAGTTACACTGATCATAGATAGCTTTGAAAAATTTGATTTCTTTTGGTAGCCATAACATTTCTCTCTATGAGACCCATTGTTGAGAGCCACAGCCGAAGGGGCCCCAGCAAACTTTCAGACTGCCAGCTGATGATTGGCTCACAGCAGCCCCAACAACATCTAGCTGTGATTGGCTCCTCTGCGGTCATGCTCATTGGGCTGTTTCCTTGCCCTTTCAGACCACGGAGCTGCTCATTGGGGGACTTTTTGGCTCCGCCCATGCGACCCAGCCAATCAGCCTCAAGAGCAGGAGGGTTGGGGGAGGTGGAGAAGCTGGTGGTGGTTGAGAGAGAGGCTTGTGGGAAGCCGGTGGTGGCAGTTGGGCTCTGAGGGTTTTTCCTGAGGAGCTGTTTTGTTTGGCGTGTGTGGTTCTAAAAATAAAGTTAGTTACAAGTGGCTCCTGAATTGTGCCCAGCCAGACTGCGGCAACCCATGAGCCACTCATATAAAGCCAGTATAAAACTTTATGTCTCTAGGCTGGACAGACAGCAGTCTTCCCTATAATGATAAAAGCAATAATCTTTTTAGAAATGACAAGTGCTAACATTCATTCCTTGAGCATTTGTAATTGTCAGACACATAATCCATTGCTTTATATTGCAGCAACTCATTTGTTCCTCACCACAGCAGAAGGAAACTGATGCTCAGAGGCAGGTAGCAGSAGGCGCCCAAGCAGAGTTGGGGGCCTGGCTCTCTGACTCCAAGTCACACATTCCTCATTCTGCTCTCTTCTCCCTCTCATATGGTTCTAGCAGGAGCTTTTGTTAGGCCTGCAAAAACCTCAGAGTCCCTCCATCTTTTTGACTAATGAGTTACAAACTCCATTCTAAAAGTAGAYTGATTCATGCCTACAAACTTTTAAGGTAATGGTTAACAGAAGTATTTTTATATTTATAAATCTTCATAATGCTTCTAAAGCTATATAAAACAATGTATCTTAACATAGAAAGGGCAAATCATAATGTGTCTGTAGAGTGCTTTAAAATAGATCAGTTTATTATGTTTTAGTTTATCATAAAAGATGCATATTTTTTTTAGAAAATTATAAGGCTTATGGATTGAAGCTATTAAAAAATAAACTGATCTTTCTATTTATTGATGGTCARCCAGACTAATATTAGTGAAACAAAGATGTAAAAATAAGGTTGCTACCATTGCTTGAACGTTTTATAGAGCCTGTCACTATTCTAAGTGCTATATAGGGATTAATTTTTTTAATCTTTACTACACATTTTATGGGGCAAATGCTATTATTTTCTCTTAACAGAAGTTAAGAAGGATACCCATGGCTATGTAGGTAGTAACGTGTGGAGATGGAATTCAAGCCCCAGGCACTTGTGGCTCCTGGTGTTCATATGTGTATATGCTATACCATGCTACCCATTTACATCTGCAGTGAATGTGTCTTCCTGTCTTTTTCTCCCCCAATGCTTTTGTTGTTCTATATGTATGTGAACAAGAAATAAGCGTGAAGTTCTTGTAGCTGGATATTAAACTGCCTTTTAAACTTGGCATCATATAACCAGARTAATCTCAAGCATATTAGTGCCACCAGTTTCACCAGAGAGCTTTATGGGAACCTATGCACTAATCATGATTAACTTTAGTAATTTATATGTGGCTTTTCTTAAAATGTTCCTTTATTTTCCATCCAGAGGTAAACACTAATGATGTTTAATGGCAGGGTGTTATAAAACTAAATTGGTAATATTCTTTTTGAGCAGTGAAATATGTAAAGGTTGAGTTCCTTTTTGACACATCATTACTTACATCATCTTGCCCAAGGTCTTTAATACTCTGCAAAAGTTTGTAGCTTTATATTCTTGAAAGTGAATAGTCAATGTCTTTAATAGTTTTGATGTTATTCTTGTGAAGATAGGGTCCCATTACAACACTGATGGACATAATTAAGTATTCTTGAAGTGATAGTATTAAAATATTTTGTTACTTTGCCTACATTTTCTTTCAAAATGTATTTACTTCTGACTTCAGTTATGAAAAAGTTCTTTCAGAGAAAGATAACAAATGCTTGTGTTAAATCCTTTTGTTTTGACATTTCTTTCCATATAATTGTATCCTAATTACTCAAGACTTCATTCTTGGAAAGTAATCTGTAAGCTAACGCTTTGTATATGTGGCTACCAGTGCTGGTTAAAAAAGATAGTATTTCATCCCTATTTGAAATAAAAGTTCATCTAATTATGATTTTCCTTCTTTTGTATTATGATACATATTTTTCTTATATTTCTTGGAGATATTGTGTTATGCATATATGTATATATGTATATATAGTAGAATATCTTCTACAAAGATGTTCTGGTGGATGATTATTCTGGCATTCATTTAAATGGCAATTAACCATATGTCCATTTCCTTAAAAACAATCTCAAGAAATATGATTCTATAGAATTATTTTCATTAGATAGATATCCTAGTGTTATGGTTTAGATATGAGGTGTCCCCCAAAATCTCACGTGTTAGACAAWGCAAGAAAGTCTAGAAGTACAATAATTGGGTTATGAGCTTTAATCTATTCAGTATATTAATCCAATTGAATGGATTAACTGGGTGGTAACCATAGTCAGGTAGGGTGTGGTGGAGGTTGGTCATTGGGAGCATACCTTTGAGGTATATAATTTTGTTCCTGTTGAGTGGAGCAGTCTTTCTGCTCCTCAGTTTCATGTTCTAAGTTCCTTTTCTCCTCCATACCCTTCCTCCATGGTGTTCTGCCTCATTCCTCCTCCAGAATAATAGAGTTGGCCATGTCTAGGCTGAGACTTTTGAAACTGTGTGCACCAAAGAAACTTTTCCTACTGTAATTGTTAATTGTCAGGTCTTTTGGTCACAGTAGTCAGAAAAACCTACTAAAACACCCAATCTATATAAATAAGAGGTCATTTTTAGAGTTATTTTAAAAAGACTKTAATTAAAATTAATCATTTTGTGTTTTATCGAATTAAAGTAGGACCATTCACTAGTGGTTCTTATAGTGTGTCAGAGGTTATTTGGCTTAATGCCAACTTTCTCCCCAAAATTTCTGATACAAGAAAACTCAGAAACTTTTCTTTAATGGTGTGACTACAACACCAAGAAAGAGAACACTGAAAAGCCAGGTGCAGTGGCACCTTCTGTAATCCCAGCTACTGGCGTGGTGGTGGTGTACCCTGAGCTCACACCAACCTGGGTAGAATAGCCAGAGCCTATCTCAAGAGAGGAAAGCTGGAGTGGGGCTCACCTGTCATTTCAGCAGCTAAGGCAAGAGGATCACAAGTTTGAGGCCAGTCTCAGCAACTTAGCAACACTTTGTTTCAAAAAGTAAAAAGTGCTGGGGTTGTGGCTCAGAGGTTAAGCACCCCTGGGTTCACAAAAGAGAGAGAGAGAGAGAGAGAGAGAGAGAGAGAGAGAGAGAGAGTGTGTGTGTGTGTGTGTGTAAAGAGAGAGAGAACACTGCAAGAGATACATAAGCATGATCTTTGGAGTTTTCCAGATGCTTAGTACCCTCATGTAGTAAAAGATGAATGTGGGGTCCTCCTTTGTATTTATTAAGCACCTGGTGCATGTGAAGAAGTTACATAAACTAAAATTAGAAAGTTAGGAAAACACCAATGGAAATTGTCTTAAAATTTTTCTTTTAGTTGTGGATAGACATAATATCTATTTATTTTTATGTGGTGCTGAGAATTGAACCTAGTGCCAGGCAAGGGCTCTACCACTGGGCTATAGCCCAGCCCAGGAAATTTTCTTAAAAAATGTTTTCTGAGCCTGAGCAGTTTTTTTTTTTAAGAGAGAGAGAGAGAATTTTTTAATATTTATTTTTTAGTTTTCAGTGGACACAACATCTTTTATTTATTTTTTAGTTTTCAGTGGACACAACATCTTTATTTTATTTTTATGTGGTGCTGAGGATCGAACCCACTCCCCAGCGCATGCCAGGCAAGTGCGTTACCGCTTGAGCCACATCCCCAGCCCCCTGAGCAGTTTCASATGGTTTTAAAATTAGTTCATTTTATGAAAGAAGATAGCAGGTTAAACCTTCAAAAAGATATATCCTTTTTTTAAACATACGTATTCTTAAAATATTTTCATATTTCCAAAATCAGACATCCTGTTTGTAGTTTTAGAAATTTGTTCTGGAGATTGTCTTTGGGGTTGTCAATGCACATTTCTTATTTGAGGTATTCTTTAAGAATTTCTCTTTTTTGCTGTAGTTGATGACTCAGTATCTATATACTATACTTTATGAATAGACTAAAATAAAGATAAATATGATGAGGCTAACCTGGTTTTTAAGGAGTGTAAGTATTTCCCAAACAATTGCTGCACTTACAGGCTTTCCAGAGACTCCTTACTCCACCCTTTTTCTTTTCTTTCTTCTTTCTTTTTTTTTTAATACTTTTTCAGTTGTCAGTGGACTTTATTTATATGTGGTGCTGAGAATTGAACCCAATGCCTCATAGATGCTAGGCAAGTGCTTTGTCACTGAGCCACAACCCCACCCCTCTTTTATTAGTAGATCACTGTTTTCTCAATGGAGAATTCTTAGATCGTATTTAGATGGATTTCTAAGTAGGGAATTCCTTCCATTCAGCCCATCAGGAAACAGTGCAAGGCAAATGGTCTCGAATCTCTCATCCTAGTTGTCTGTTACTCACCATCAGCATGCTGGGAGTTTGGACTTCTCTGTGCCTCATGTCTCTGCTATTAGAGAAAAATAACTCAGAGCATGACTAGGGGGTTCTTTTTAGGTCCAAATTTCTACTGTTCTGGCAATCTATTTTAAGAATATGCACCTTTTTCTAAAGTACAATTTGAGGTATGCTTCTGATTCCTAAATGAATAGATTTAAGCCAAGAAAGTCAGAAATAAATCAATTTCATTCTAACATACTGTTTTTCTGGGTGAATACTGTTTTGCAAATCTTCAGTTGATTTGAGATTGCCTCTCTTATTTATTACATACTGGTTTTCCTTGACTTGGATCTCTTTATTGGACATTAAGCAAGAAGAGATTTCTATAAAATTTGAAGATCTTCAAACACTTGAAATGATTTTTAAAAAATCTTTTATTAAGAAATCACTTTTCCCTTAGAAAATGATAGGAAAAGTTTTGGTAGAGTTTTCCATACTCCTGAATTGTTAGTTAAGATCATATTTAATAAATTGTGTAAGAGCTCTGAGATAATCATTTTGTTAAGACATTTTATTAATTCTTGATCAAACAAAAAAATAAGACAATTTCAGTTGTATTCCAGAAAGATTGACTTATTTACTGAAAACATGCATAACTCTGGGAAGAAAGTTTACTTAATTAAAAACCCAGGGCTTGCATAGTAAAATTGTGCTGGCAGTAAATGATGTTAGTCATCTCTACAGATCCACTGTGTGTTCTGTTCTTCATGGGAAAGAATCATGTGATGAAACAGATTCTCGAGTTAAATGTTTTTCCCCAGGAAAAACAGGCATAAATATTAAGAATTACTAATGGTAATGGATTGCTTCTTGGCACTTATAGCTAGGAGCAAGAATTCAGACATATGTGTTTATATAAATGATTTAATCTAATACAAATAAATAACCCTTGATATACACTGAGAACAGCTGTTCTTTCACTCTGGTTGAGAAAAATATTTTTCATGAATACATGAATGTGGCTTTATATCACCATTATAGAGCTACATATATATATATATATATATATATATATATATATATATATATATATATATATAGGAGGGTTTACAAATAATATTTCTTTTTATTATAAGTTAGGTAGCATTGTTTTGAATCATACTTAAAATTAGATAATACTAAAATATATAAAATTAGATACTAAAATATATCATTTTAATTAAAAAAAATCTGTAAATCTAATTTTGCTCCCTGTTTTCTCCGCTCCCCTCAAGGCTTGTGTCTCCAGAGCAGCCACCAAAGGCCAAGTTCCTGACCTTGGGGTCCAAATTCCGCTACAGTGGCCGTACACAAGCACAGACCCGCCAGGCAAGCATCCTCATAGACAGACCAGCGCCACACTTTGATCGCACCTCTAGTAAACGGGTCTCTAGGAGTCTAGATGGAGGTAAATACATTTATGATAATTTTGGATTTCATTCCTCTTTCTCTAATTCATTGTGGTCACAGAATGTTTAACTAGTTAATAAGATCATCAGAAATACCCTAGAGGAATAGCCAATTTTTTCTTCAGTAAACAAAATGCTATTATACTCAGAATAAAATAATTTTGTAGTGTTTTGAAGTTGTCATTCTCATTTGTGTTCATTAGATGTTGGATGGACATGTTTTTATTTACTTGATTGTGATTTGTTTATGTGGTTTAATTTCTTGAACTTATTAATGATGAAATATAATTCTAAGGTTTTTTTGTATGTCAGTATATGAAATTTCATTCAAATGAACATAAAACATTTCTAGCACTATCTAATGTTGGGTTACTCTGATGAAGTTTACCAAACTTTCCTGTGTATGTCTTTAAAGGATTAGTTTTAAATATAGTGTTTTTAACTAAAAGAAAGAAATATAATGTGTTCATATGTTCTTTAAGCTCAGAGGAATTATATATAGTTGTGTGTTTTTCCATTGGCATTCTAATAAGCTACRTATTATAGTTGATTTATGTAAATTATATGTGGAAGTAAGTTGATGTTGCTTTTAAAGATCTCTATCTACCCACCTCCCCTTCTCCAATCTGGGATTTATCCCAGGGCTCTTAACAACCGATCCACATACCATGCACCTCCCTCCATTTTTTTGTTATATATAGAGACAGGGTCTTGCTGAGTTTCTTAGGGCACTAAGTTGCTGAGGCTTGTTTTGATCTCTCTATACTCCTGCCTCAGCCTCCCAAGCTGCTGGGATTATAGGCATGTGCCACCATGCCTGGCTATGTATCTGTCTTATTACCTTGTCTTTGTGGAATTAATAGTAATAGTAGATGCCCTATAAAAAACAAGCTAAGGTTATGCCAGGCGCAGTGGTGCACGTCTGTAATCCCATCGGCTCGGGAGGCTGAGATAGGAAGATCTCAAGTTCAAAACCAGCCTCAGCAAAAAGTGAGATTCTAAGCAACTCAGTGAGACCCTGTCTCTAAATAAAATACAAAATAGGACTGGGGATGTGGCTCAGTGGTTGAGTGCCCCTGAGTTCAATCGCTGGAACCCCCCTCCCCCCAAAAAAACCTACCTAAGGTTAGGGATAAGGGGATATGTACTCAGTGGTAGAGCACTTGCCTAGCACGTGTGAGGCACTGGGTTTGATCTCACCACCTCATTAAAAAATGAATAAATAAAAAGTTATTATATCCATCTACAACTAAAATTATATTTTTAAAAAAGCTATGGTTAAGTTTGTACTAGAATGCTTTATGAAGGACTTATTTTTACCATGTAATGGAAATGGGTATGGTCAGTTTTCTACCAAAGAAGAAATAGTTTCCAATGTTTTCATTTACATTTGATAGCAATTTGCAGTTCAAAAACATTATTTACTATTGTTGTTTAGTAAAGCCCCCTTTTTATTATTATACTTTGTATTTTTCTAAAATATGAATTTGAATAATTTGTATTTTAAATAATTAGGTGAAATGGACCAACCAAACATATGCAGTCAGATAAAAATGCTCTTTAGTGTGAAGTGTTGATGCTCACTGGCCTTGATTACTTTTCCTAGAAAAAAATTTAGAAAATACAGGCCAACACATGGAGGTCTTTCCCAGGATTTGTTGATGAGAATTTTTTAATATATAGTTACTAGATCTTAAGTCCAGAGAGTCTTCGTAAAATCCTATGAGACCACACAAAAAATATGCAAGGGAACCATAACTGTACTTCAAATGAGTGTCTATATTTCCAAATGTAGTGATTTAAATTCAATGAATTATTAATCAACACCTGAGCACTTTTCCAAGTAAATCTGAAAATGTGCCAGCTCATGTAAATATTTCTCATGTCTTTTCCCTTGCCACWGAGAATTTATATAAGTGCTAAATAAATGCAATCACTGTTGTTTAATGCCCTTAGAGAACTCATTGCTCTTTCCAGAACACTGTCTGTCTTCAGCCTTTGTTTTAAATTGTGAGGCTCTCTAACTTTTATATTGCAAGTGTTAGACTTTTAAAGAGCAATAAACCAGTATATTTTCTTTGAGGTATATAAACCATGCTCAGGGAAACCCACCATCTGTTTGGGCAGTTAGTGCAGAGGGTTGTAGGAAGCTGTATCTGAAAACAATGATTTTTACAAGTAAAAGCTACAAACACGGCATAGTAATCCATTGTTTTTCCCTTTGTGTTTTGGACACTGTAATTCATCAGATGGGCAAGTCATCAAAAGGATTATTGTGTTATCTTGAAAAATAGGAGGCTTTTCATGCCAGTACATGACTAGACAGCCAGAAAACTCTTTGGTTAAGGCTTATGTTCTCCTTTTTTCCCCTAAAGCAACACTAGTCTGTAACCTGGTACTGAATATTTTCTTCACCATCTTCATCAGTATAACTTTTGTTGTTGTTGACATATTTTGTATTTTCTTTTTTTTTTCAGCTTACTTTTTGAAGTAGGCTAGAATAATTTAGATATATAAATAATCTTTTACTTTAAAGTTTGGCAGATTAAATCTTCTAGTGATTATATGAAAAGTACAAATCAGTGAGATAGCTGAAGACCAAATACCAAATACCAAATAAAAACCAGTCTAGAACAGCTGTCTTCTGAGATTAGGAAATTAAACCTAAAAGGAAGCAAATCATTCATGTAAGAGCACTAACAACCAAAATGTATTTGGGGGAGCCACTGATTTTCTGAAAGTGGAAAATATAATAAGGAGGGTCACTACACAGAGTCATCAGGGAAGGAAGGCCTATTGGAGGAAGGACCAGTTCACTTGGAATTTGAAGGATGAGAGGGAGGCAGCCAAGAGAAAAGGGGAGATGCTAAACCATTCTAGGTAGCAGAAGTGGCAGGACTGAAGATTACAAGGTGAGGGAGAGCATTCCAGAAACAGAAAGAATGCAAGCCTAATCAAAGGTTAGTAAGTGCCTGGAGAGGTGGGTTGTGGTCTGGCCATGCAGGTCCTTGCAGGCCATGATAAAGAATGTGGATTTTATTCTACGTGCTCTTGGAAACCATTGAAGGGTATGGAGCACAGAAGAAAATGATTTTTATTTTTCAAAAAAACCATTTGGTAGAAGAAAACAATTAGGATGGAGACAGGAGGGGTAGGCATGCTGGTTAGGWATAGTCCAAGTGAGAGTGATGTTGCTCTTACTCTGAATGGAAGTAGTCCAGTTAGCTATGCCACACTGCAGGTTAGGCTCAGTGCCTCGGCCTACAAAGCTTCTTAAGTTCTACAAAAGTGTTAAAAACCTGAAAAAAATGTTTGGCCCCTAAATACAAAAAGAAAACTGCAACCTGAAATTGTTTAAAAGGCATTCATTCATATTTCAGTAACATTTCCATTTGACACCATTTCTAAGTCACATTTTCACATTTTACAGTAATTCCTGACTCTCATGGGTGCTTAGAAATCATAATCAACTGTGTGTGGTGCCTCACACCTGTAATCCCAGAAACTCAGGAGACTAAAGAGGATCACAAGTTCAAAGCCAGCCTCAGCAGTTTAGCAAGGCCCTAAGCAACTCAGTGAGACCCTGTCTCTAAATAAAATACAAATAGAGCTGGGGATATGGCTCAGTGGTTGAGTGCCCCTGAGTTCTATCCCCAGTACTCCCTCTCCCCAAAAAAGAAATTATAATCATAAGAGATCATGCATAGCCATATATTTTCTAAGAGAAAATTAGTAAAATCTTGTCAAAAGTTTAAAAACAATCTCTGGAAAATAAGCATATGTGATATAAAATATGAGTGCATTTTAATATTTGAYGATTTGGTGTAGGCTTTCAAAAGTATGAGTACTTATGGGCTCAAAAAGTCTTAAAAGATGAGATGTTAGAAATAGAAGTGGGAAGAACTGCTACATTTAGAAATATGTTTAAGGACTCTGTTGGGCCTGCTGTGTTCAGAAATAAAGGAAGATTCCTAGAAGACTTCTAGGTTCCTGGSTTGAGCAAATGGTTACAAGTGTGAGTAGCGTTTGATGAAAGAGGAAGGACTGAGGAAGATGCAAATTTTAGACAGAGCAGGTGAGCAGTGGTGAGGGTGTGTAGACTGTGATACATAGATTCATAGTACTGATGACTTCCATGTTCAAGATGGTCAAGCACTATTCTTCAAGTGCTTGCAGCATCAGGGGTTTTTGTGTGTTATTGGGCTTCCTCTGGGATAAGGACCAGAGCAAACCGCATGGYATCAGTAAAGCACTTTTTATACAAGTGAAAGGACCTCATGGGAAGTCATATTTGGGAGGGAGCTAAAGATAGAGATGATCACCTGCTACTCATTTTGCCTTGTTGAAGTTTCTTGGGTTGATGTGCAGTATGATAAAAACTTTGAACTTAATACATGTTTTTGCCTAACTTTGGGAGAGATGAAAGGGGCACATAAAGTCTGGGTTTGCTGGGCAGTGGTGGTTTTATCTGTGTATTAGATTTGCTATAGGTTAAGTTGAGACAAACAGGAGAGGAGTGTTAGTATAATGATAAATATTTAACATGAACAGAATTTAAATTCTTAACATTTACTGTCTTCTTGTGCTCAAAGTAAAGGTTCCTTAGTGAACGACCTCTTAAAACTTATTATATCAAATCATTTTAATAATTAGATAATTATTTATTATAATAGGTAGATTCAGAAATAAATCTAGACAAGACTAAAGAGACCCCCAGAGAATTAAAGTATTGGTTACATTTTTCTGACATTTTGCCTTGACTCTGGTTCAGTTCAGCTGGTCTGAGAGCTCCTCCTACTGGTCAATTCCATTGTTGAAGCATATTCTTCAAAAATCTGATGAGACCCTGTGTGGTTCAGTGGGGAAAATTCAAAATACTGTTAGATTTTGGTAAAAGTTTAAAAATGAGTTTATTTTCTATTCTGATATTTTCAGAAATCAAGCAGTATTTTTATTTCTGTTAGTTGTATGTATGCTGCCTGTTTATTTGAGAGGGAAGTATTCTGTGTAAAGCTTTACCTTTTATATATCTTAACAGTAATCCAAAATTATCTTTTTTTTTTTTTTTTTTTTTTTTACCAGCTCCAATTGGTGTTGTGGACCAAAGTCTTATAAAGGATTTTCCTGGACCTGGTGGGGGGATTTCAGCATATGGCCCAGGAGTTGTCAGCACTGCCATGGTACAAGATAGGGACAGCCGGAGGGATGTCAGAAGCCCATCTAAAGCTCCACATTTGCAACTCATTGAAGGAAAGGTATGGCAAATTAGTAAAATACATGGTTTTAAATGTGTATGTGGACCAGAAGCTATTTGGTTCATTTTCAGATATCAAATATTTTAAAATTATCATTGTTCTATATTGTAAATTCCCAGTTTTCAAATATGTGTGTGCTCCTGCTGGTTGTGACTGTGATTTCTAACCATGTTTTGGTTGTTGTTGAAAGCAAAATATTGCAGTGTAAATTATATTAATGCAAGTAAGTAATTCATTGGTCTTTCTGGCTTTGTAATAATCTTGTTAATTGAATTACCATCCTATAGAAGCTATGATGATTTGAAAATTATATTTGGTTTGTTCCAAGTAATTTTAAAGTATATAGCCTCTGTCTTGATTAATTATGTCGACTTGCATTTCTAGACATACACAAAGTGATCTTGTGTTTTTCAATGATAATCTGTAAGTGCCTTAGGAATTCCTGCATCAGTAACCTCTAATGCCCAGCACAGAGGTCAAGTGCTTCATGTAGTAGAAGACTCAAATCATTTGTATTCCATTATTATATGTTTTGTGACTATCACCTTGAAAAATTATTTTGTTAAAAATAACAGAAATTGTGTCCCACAAGATAACTTTCAACTTCTGGAAAATGATCAGAATTTTTAAAAATAATTATAATAAGGAGGCACCTTAGGAGAGTGACTACTTACATGTGAAACAGAAGAGCATGGCATTTCAGCAAGTTTCTGTTCCATTTATTAAATAATTTGACATATCTAGTTTTTTAAAAAACTTTTTTCTTGTGTATCATAAAGACAAGAAAGTATTCTTTCAAATTTCAGGGAAGCTTATCTTCAGCAAATGATTGGTTATGCTGGCTTATTTTGCTAATTTTTTAATGTCTGTCAGCAATCAGATTTGAGTTTCATAGGATTTACTTGCAATCAGTTTGAAAATAATAATTAAATCAGTTGATACCTATGTTTTATGTAATAAAGGTAGTCCAATTTCCTCTTTAAAATGGATCATTTAATTCCTCTTCTAACTATACTTTGTTAATATAAAACCTACTTGAAAGTAAAGTTTTCACTAATTACCCATTTCTTCTTTTTTCTTCTTTTCCTCTTGCATTCATTTTTTCTTTTGAATGTATATGTTGTGTGATTTCTTATTCAATTATGGATTTGTTTTTGAAAATAGACTGCTTGCATGTGTCCACCTTCACCACTCATCCGTTGTGTTTCATCTTTTTCTCCAAGCCTGTTGCCAGTCCCTGAAGTGGACTTGCTTTCAGACATTTCAGAGGAAGACCCTTTTGGGGAGGCTGACCAGGTCACACTAGACAGTTTAGAGCTCCTTTCCACAGGTGAAACATCAGAGCAGGGGGACCCTGAGGTTACCACACTGGATTCTGTCTTGGATCCTGTTGTAGTCCCTGCTCAGTCTGATTGTCCTCCATTGCACGAGAAGACTCTTAAAGCAGGTGACCAAGGGAATTCTGAGTTTGGTTACTTCTCCTTCAGCTTCTCCAAATGTTTTCCCTCTGGTTTCCCCTCCCTTCTTGATGAAGATGGATATCTTGCTTTCCCCAGCCTCCCTAAGCTCTGGGTTTCCTTCCTCCCTCCTGATGTTCAGCACTATGTTCCTATCACTTCTCCTTCATTCATTCCTTCCCTTATCCTCATCTTTGGGCTGTTGCTCTCTGCTTCTCAGTCTGTTCCTTTTTCTCTCACCTTTTCGCTTCCTCTGGCTCTAGCCCTCTGCTATCTGGAGGCCAAAGCTACCTCCTTGAATGCTTCTTATGACCTTGATTTGAATGATAAAATAGAGGAAGAGGAAGCAGTTGCTGGAACTTCGCCATAAGCTTCATTTTGTGAAGTCAACAAACCACACTTCATCTTAAACACCTCCTAATATAGAGTGTAAACATGTGCATAAATTTCAGATTACCCTCAAAATAATATCACCTGCACATTTTCATACATACAGTGTTTTAGTGCATGAGAGATAAGTGTAGGCACTCCTGCGTTGATATTCTTTGACCAGGTCCCACAAATTTTAAGTTGAGGGCAAAGTGATAGGATTATTTTGTAAACATCTAGATCATACTAGATTTTTAACAAAAGTAGTGGGAGAGAGGGAAAATTGTATTGTCCTTAATCTCCATAGGTGTGTTTGTTTTGCATACAAATGTTAATGCTGTTCCTTTAAGATGGGAACTTTTCATTTTAAAATAGAACTTAGAATGCAGTGGACATAACTGTAATTGACATTTAGTAATAGARCTCCTTAGGATCATTGTTTCTGTTGTTTAAAATCCAAGCTTGTTCTTGCATTTGTGAGGCTATATCAGTAACCTTTACCCATGACATTTGTTACGGCTCATCTCAGAAACACCTTGTCTCCTTTTATTATAGTATTTGGGGACTAGCCAGATGAATTTTAGCTAGGATTTTTTTTTTTCTCCCAACCCTAATTCATGTATTTATATTAAAAGAGTCAGTGGTCATGTATTTTATAAGGAAGATATTATTCTGTTACTTTTAACAAATGTGTGTGAAAAATGAAATATGGCTTTTTGAGAGTTTAGACATGTAGCACTGAGATTAGGCCCCTTGTTGAAAATTAGGTATCTGGTGTGAGGATTTTTACCCCTATATAAGGCAACTTTTTTTTCAAGCATACTACCTCTGCCCTAGTCAGTCAGTGTTAACATGTGCAGTATTTTTTTTTTTTTTAACTTACTTTGCTAAATGTGGTCTGGTGAATTAGTATCTCAGAGTATCCTGTGTATACTGTTAACACATGGAGTAAAACCTGAAGAGAAATGTGAAGAAATGTAATGAGTATGCATGGTAGGAGAAACTACAATTTTGAATTTACATGAGAAACACCAAAGATAGCATTGTAGAGAATTAAGTGCTAACCAAGGAATTGGAAAATAGTTCTTGACAGATTGTTGAATGGCTATGTCTCATTTTTCACTTCTGATAAAAAAGACTCTGAGCTCCCTGCTTACCTCTCAAAAATACTGTGAGTAGTTACCAAAAACAAAGGTAAGCATTTTGATACCATCATCCCAGCAAAGAAGGAAATGAATATATGGTATGAATTAACCTGTAAAGATTATTTCCTTTACTATCAGAATTGATATTTTTCTTTTTTGCCATTCTTTTCCTGGGGTCAGAATTCATTCAGATTTATGTTAATCTTCCAGATTTATTTTGGGGGTGCGGGGGGATTATTAGGTGTTGAGAAATGTCCAACAATGAAAAAGGGCTTTTTTGGACTGGGGAGGATTGAATGCAGGGATGCTTAACCATTAAACCACATCCCCAACCCTTTTATTTTTATTCTTATTTTATTATTTTTTGGTACCAGGGATTGAACCCAGGGGCAGTTAACCACTGAGACACATCCCAAGCCCTTTTTTATATTTTATTTTGAGACAGGGTCTCSCTGAGTTGCTTAGGGCCTTGCCAGATTGCTGAGGCTGGCTTTGAATTTGGGATCCTCCTGCCTCGGCCTCTCAAGTTGCTGGGGTTACAGGCATGAGCTACCATCTCCAGCTAAAAAAGTATTCTTGATTAAAGAATTTTATTTAAGAAGAGTGACTGTATTTTAAAGTATATTTTAAATACCATCTTAATATGAGAGTAGCTAAATAAATCATTTGCCCCCAAGGAAAGAAATCCATATCTAAAAAAAAATAGTGACAGTATAAGGTCTGATGATGTAAAATATATAACCAATATAAGGCAAAAGACAAGATTTATGTCATTATACCTGTTTCCTCTCTAGTTAATTCAGACATGTCAGAGCACAGCAGATTGAATTATGCCATATTTGCACTCTGATATTTTCATTCCTGAGTTAAAAAAAAATTCAAAAGCAGAGTATAATCTAGGGACGGAGAAAGAGTGAAGCTTCCATTCTCCATTCCACTTTGCAAAGGATCATTTCCATCATTTGTACAGCACTGTAGGTGATGAAAGACCAGAGTGGCTTAATATTCTGCATCTTGAGGGCCATACAGAGAAGGTTGGTAATGCTGCTTCGCCATTTACGTTTGAACACAGCTTCTCTGCACTGATGGCAGAGTTCCCACTAATGCTCCCCTTCTTTCTGGCTGCTTGCTATGTGCCTTTCCAGGAGAAGATAGAAGAAGAAGAAACACAGCTGGAGGAGGTGGCTGTTTTTCCCTGAAGTTAAATATCTGGTGTCTGCTGCCTGCCATTATTACTGTTGGGGTGGTATTGGAATGTATTTTCAGCGCTTATTTGAGTTTTGTTTGTTGTGGTGTTAAGTTCTTAAGATTTTTATTCCTCTTTTATTTTAAAGTCTTAGAGCTTTCAAATTCTGGGTCATTTCTGGTGCTTGCTGATTGATACACTTACGTTTATTTGCCTCCCCCCCCCCTGTGTGTGATTTAATTTCACAGAAAAATTCCTTGAGAGTAGAAGGGGATAATATTTATGTCAGACATAGCAATTTAATGTTGGAGGTTTGTATAATCTAAGAAAACAATTGTCCTAATGGCTGCCAGGCTGCTGTGGACGGGAGGTCACGCACAGGCTGGCTGGCAATGTTCTTCTAGCACAGTGCATGACATGCATGGGGGAAATTCAACTTGGGAGCGCATGTTACCAGTCCAACTTGGTTCTTTTAAAGTGGCTAAGATAAAATTAGATCTAGTAGAAGTTCTCAAAGTGACAACTGGGAAAAAAGTTCTTTTTACTAAAATGAGTAAAGTTTACTTTTAGTCTTGGAATTATTCTAAAAATAAGCCTATTTTCTTAATGAATTATCTCTAGGGCATAGAATCTGAAGTAACATGGTTCTACATTTAATATATATTAAGCAGAACAGGTATTTATTGATCTGACATTAAATAATTTGACTGTTGATCTATGCCCATATATATATTTTTAAAGCCCATGTGATTAGTAATGTGGTCCACTTAAAGTATTCTGTTTGAGAATATACTGATTGAATTGTTTTGATTAGAAAGAGCAAATGATAGAGAGAAAAGAGACAAAGAGAAACAAAAAAATTTACTACCCAATTAGGAATGTAAAATATGTTCCCCGTGTCACATGAGAACAGGTTTGTTTTTATTTTTGTAGATAGTGAGTGGCAGTGAATTCAGTGGAGAACTGCATTTCTTAGTAATCTGACTAATCTGGTTGCTTCTGGCAGCTTTGATAACTATTGGAAATGTATTTTTTTTTTTGCTTAATTTACTAAAATGCTATAAAGTATAATAAATAACATTGCTTTGAACAAACGCAAGAAATGTGCCTGATCTCAAGCCACGGTCATTTTCCCATGCCATGCAAAGATTTTTAGATTTTTATGAGTTTTTGCAAATGGCTATAGAAGCTCATAGATGAGCTAGTATGCTTGTGCATGCATATGGATTATCTAATTTTATCAAATGCATGACCTGTTCCTTTGGGAGTGGGATGAAAACTATAATCTGCAGGCAGCCCTGTGATTTTTGAAATGTATGAAAACATTTAAATTCAGTTACAATCATTTCCTGAACATGAATTACCACATGTACTATTTACCAGAGCCAGTCTTTCCATTAATCATGAAAATTGACCTGGTAGTTTTTCTTGCATCTTTGTTTGGTGTGTGAGGCATCTGAGCCCTATGTTTGTGCTCTGCATGACATGAGACCAGAATGAGGCTCATTATTATAGGGATCCCAAACAGAATCAACCTCTAGAAGAGGTATTTTTTTTATTCCATAAGGATTAAAAGCACTATTGGAATTTTCTGACATAAGTCAACCTTTGGTTTTTTCCTTTTTTTTTTTTTTTTTTTTTATGATTCTGGACTGGCTTTCCCTTCATGCTAAGTGCTTTTGAATCTACTTTTCTCTATTTTGTGCTTGACTTACTGCATTCACAGAATTCAATTTTAATAGTAGAAAGGTAGATTTGCAGGAAAAAAGTCATAGACTGCAATTCAAATTCAAGAACAGAAGGATTATGAGCCATTTTGGTGATCAGTTCCATGGCTTCCTTCTAATAACTGTAAATAATTATTTTTTAAAATATTTTAAACAGAATAAATTAGAATCTTTAAAATGAGTCATAAAGATATACATTGACTTTATTTTCAAATTTTGATGAACTCATTAGGGTTATCAATAGGTGGTTTTATGGCTTTTGAGACTTGGCATTTTTCTTGCTTTACTATGTTTTTTTTTTTTAAATCATAAGTGTGCTTTGTCTTATTTTTTTTTTTTTTGGTTTTATTTTTTTATTTTTGTCCTACTGGGTTTTTCCCTTTTGGATTCCCCCCCCCCTTTGTCACGTTACATATTGCTAGGACCTGGATAAGGCCCAGGAGGACATACTGAAACATCAGGCTAGCATTAGTGAACTCAAGCGCAATTTTATGGAATCCACACCTGAGCCGCGCCCTAATGAATGGGAAAAACGACGTATCACACCTCTGTCCCTACAGACACAAGGGGTATGTCACTAGCTGTTTGTTGGCTATGTATCTCGCTCCACTGTTCAGTAAAGTTTAGGATGTTAATCTTGTATATTGATCATCAGAAATTACAAATTGTTCCCATTTAATTTTTTTATATTGCTAACAATTTTTTAAAATACTAAATATTTATTAACAATGTAATACTTATTGGCCTAGTTCTTAGGTAAATTACGAGTTTCAAAATGCCTTTGAAATATTTCAGAGTAATTTTACTATTTTATTCAAGTAAGCTAATACAAATATATTGTTATACAGGACAACATATCATAATATTGTACTTAATAAGCTACTTAGTTATTGCTTCTGAAATAAGGAAATTAACAAGTAAATAATTAATAACTAAAGGAATGTGGATTATATTTATAATGTTCTAAGGTCATTGCCATGAGGATAATAAGTTAAAACTTACGTTTAAAGACTTGAGTCCTGTCGAATGTTTTATATGCTACAACTTAATATTCAAACTTCCCAGTAATGATGCATAGAATAAATATCATTTTTAAAACATTTTTAGTCATAATGTCTTTTCACACTTATTCTTTTTTCTTTCTATAGTTTACTTTTCTTCACCACAAATATAAGTAATACCTGTAGAATATATTCTTCAAATGTTTATCTCTTTATTCCTATGTGTCTTTCTTTCTCTCTGATCCCAAATCCTTCCTGTGGTTGACCAGGAACTTCCATGGCTCATCATACTTGAGAACAGTGATCATACTCTTTATTCTCCAGTTTTAAAAATTGTACAAAGACCTTATCTCCAATTTCAACTTTCAGTGTCTAGTGTGGCTTGATGTTGTCAAATTGTAGACATTAAATTTAGATATTCTAATGCTATTTTTATTCACCTTTCCTTAAAAAGCCAAGCTGTTGGTTGCCCTAAGTTTCAAAGTTTGTGACATTTTTAAAATTTATTTATGAGACTGGAATGCATTACAATTCTTATTACACATATAGAGCACAATTTTTCATATCTCTGGTTGTATACAAAGTATATTCACACCAATTTGTGTCTTCATACGTGTACTTTGGATAATAATGATCATCACATTYCACCATCATTTATAACCCCATGCCCCCTCTCTTCTCCTCCAACCCTTCTGCCCTATCTAGACTACAGAGCAATAGTAACAAAAACATATGGTATTGGCACCAAAACGGAATTATAGACCAATGGTACAGAATAGAGGACACAGAGACTAACCCACAAAACTACAATTATCTCATATTGGACAAAGGTGCCAAAAACATGTACTGGAGAAAAGATAGCCTCTTCAACAATGGTGCTGTGAAAACTGGAAATCCATATGCAACAAAATGAAATTAAACCCCTATCTCTCAACATGCACAAAACTCAACTCAAAATGGATCAAAGACTTAGGAATAAAACCAAAGTTTGTGACGTTGAAAGGAAATAGTACTTTAAAAACAGATTCGCAAAAATAATTGYGGAACTGAAGAACAAAACTTTTGAAAATATCAAGACTTAAAGCACCATGTATGATAGGGTAGATATCACCTAAATTTTTATTTTCAGATTTCCTAGAGATAATATCAGTTTTAGCAGTCTGCTCTAGAGTTTTCTGGAGAAAGTGTCTGATGACATGCTAAAAGCCTTCCTTATGTGCCACTTCATCTGGCTTGTTCCATTGACTCACACAGTTGTTTTATGTTTGTGTTGCTATAGGTGTAATGTATGTGTCTTATTTGTTGATTGTGTCTATTGTTTAAAACAATAGAGAAAAGGAGACCATCTTTTCAAGGATATTTTGTCCATGAAGGAGAAGTACCTGACGGCAGCAACACGGACAGTTGAAGATAAAGCCCAGGAGGCGGACAAGGTGTTCACCTTGCATCCTTGGATCTACTCTTGCTTTTTGCCCCTTTCCATTTATTCTGTCCACATCCATAGATATTTCCTTTTTCTTACGTATCAACCTTAATTTTTTCAAATAGGTTTTTGATTAAAACTGATTCCTCATATTTAGAAGCATAGAATCATCAGGGAGGTGCATAAACCCTTTACTTGAAAATTCACAATTTGAAATGAAGAAATAACAACCAGTTTAGCTGATAAAATGATCCCTAGTTTGATGTATGTGGCTGACAGTTGGGAAACTATAATTTCATGTGAAAATGCACTGTATAACTCTTATGCACACTGTGGTTCTGTTAAAATAACAAATTATATGTGCATTAGGTTACTAGTTCACTAATCACATATGAAAACCTGCATTTTACTTTTAAGACTTTTAGTGGGAAAAAAGACTTTGCATCATAGCAGCCCTTCTTATCTCTCTTGCTCCCCTTTATATAAAATGCCTGATGTTAATGAGGAAGTTGTTTTCCAGCACTTTTATATTCTCTCTTCTAATTATATTGATCATGCTTACTCATCTGGTCGGCCTGGGAAGTTTAGAGTCTAGTGGTGGAGCTAGACAGCAGACAAGTATATTAGTAAAAAGAATTCAGGTACTAAGAAGTAACTGTTAAGAAGGTAAAATACAGTGCTGTGTTAGAAAGGGGATAGGGAAGCTGCTTTACCATTGTGGTCAGGAGGACATGTTAATTGAGTTGAGACCTTGCTGATGACAAGGAGTTGGATATGTCAAGACTTTTCCATTTGTAGGGAAGAACAAATGTAACACCTTAAGGCAGGAACTTGTTGAATAAGGCTGAGCACAAAGGAAGGTAAAGGCCAAAGAAGTCAGACCCACACATCATGTCAGGGTCTTAAAAATTATATTTATGGTTTAGAATTATGTTATAGGAATGATGGGAAGCCATTGGAGATTTTTTAAGGTGAGTCTTGATATAATTTCCTATGTGTCAAACAGAAATTCTTCTGGCACTGGATAAGAAATGGATTATATGGGATGTGAACGAGAGAAGAGATCAGTAATAAAATATTTCCCTTATGTAAAGTAGATTTTGTTAATCACTAGAGAGTAATCATTAGATGCACAGTGAAGAGTGGGAAAGGAGGGAAACAATACGAAAATTCCCTTAAGGACTTTGAGGTCCAGGTGAGGTGAAATAATTTCTGGAACACTGCAAATGAGAAACGTAATGTTATAAACCCAAAGCAAGTAGTACGTGTTTCTCTCTCTCTCTCTCTCTCTCTCTCTCTCTCTCTCTCTCTCTCTCTCTCTCTCTCTCTCTCTCTCAAGTTTAGCTTGAGATTCAAAGCCAGTTAGACAGTTTGTATATAATAAGGACTTTAATATTACATGCTTTTAAATATATTTGTAAACATCTGTCTTCCATAAGCAGGCCAAATGGCATCATTTGATCCAATGTGTCTTTGGATTTCGGTAATAGGAAACTGGGATTTTGATGAAGATGTTTAAAATTATTTTTCTGGATCTCATGTTTTAGAAATGTACAATATAGCTGGGCGTGGTGGTGCACACGTGTAATCCCAGTGGCTTGGGAGGCTGAGGCAGGAGGATAGTGAGTTCAAAGCCAGCCACAGCAACAGCAAGGTGTGGCTGTGGCTCAGTGGTTGAGTGCCCTTGAGTTCAAAATCCCTGGTACTCCACCTCAAATGTACAATATAAAATGTCTTATAAATGTTATAGTAAAATGAAGTTATGTGAAATTTAAATCAGGAAAAGCCCCTATTCAGCTTATCTGCATTTGAAGTTGCAACTTTTTTCTGTACTTTTCCTCTCCAATACATGTGAAAAAATACATACTTATTTGCCATGCATGTAGATTGTTCTAACTATATTCATTTATTTACCCCAGGAATACATTAAATACATGCATATGTTTTTTCCCTGAAATAACGTACTACTATTAACTCAAAGTATGTGAGCAGTTCAGTATACTGCAGTGTTTTGACTTTAACAATTCCTTTTTTTCTAGCTTTTTAAAATTGGTACATTGTAGTTGTACATAACGATGGGATTTGTTAAATATTCATGCATGCACACAGTATGACAATATAATTTGGCCAGTGTTACTCCCAGTACTTCCTCTGTTCCCCCCTCCTCACATCCCCTGTTTCCTCAGAATACATTTTAAATTTCAGTCCTCATATCTGTATTTTCTTTTTGCTAAGGATTTTGCAGGGTTTCTTGTTTATCTTTGAATTATATTCCTTATTGAAATGCAAAATCAAAGATTATGTGCAAGTATATAATTTGACCAAATTTTCCAAATTCTCATGTATGGGTTTTATAGATTTTTATAAGCAGTAATAATTTCTTGTTTTAAAAAAATAGGTGCACTGAACTTTTAAAATAGTTTTGGTTTGAAAGTGAATGATTTTGAGAATAGAACAAAAAATTGGAAACCAAGTCATTTAGTCCTCAATGGATAAATAAGTCAATTGTGTATCCTCTTAAGAATTATGAGAATTATGACAATGTGGATAAAGTATTTTCATGAGTCTAACAGAGATTATCTAGACAGTAGTTTTCAGATGCTTTGAAGGTATTTTATTGAATAATTAAATGTGTGACACTTATTTAAATTCCCCAGTATTCTCTTATTGGGAAGGACTCCCTTTTTACCCCACCCTTACCCCTAGAGATGGTGTCATCATTGGGATTATAGTTGAACTGAATTAGTCTAGAAGCTTTTTTTTTTCCTGAGTATTACAAGCATTTACCATATTCCCTTCCTCATCCCTCTTTGTTTACTGTCTGAAGGGATGTCTCAATCTCATGCATTTATTTGAATATTTTTAAAAATATATCTGAAGAGTGGGATTTATTAAGAATTGTCTTATTCCTCTGACACTTCATGGTGATTCTTTTTTAAAAAAATATTTTTTTAGTTGTAGTTGGACACAATACTTTTATTTAATTTATTTATATGTGGTGCTGAGGATTGAACCCAGTGCCTTGCACATGCTAGGTGAGCACTCTACTGCTGAGCCACAATCCCAGCTTCTTCATGGTGATTCTTTTTAGTGACATTCCAAGATTCTAAGAACAGTACCCAGCTTTCCTATTGTTCTTTCAGGCAGGTTAGCAACCATTGTTTAAGGAACAAAAATGTGAAAGTTAAAATTTGCTTTAATTTTTCAGGAACCAATAATTTTCACATTGCTCACTGAGTTTTCAGACCTGGGTTTGTCTTATTTAAAATTTTTCCATTTCCTGTTGCTTTTAGCTAAATTTTTTTTAAAAAAAGACAATCTTTTTATTGTGTAGAATACTTAGCATGCCTGAGAGAATTACTGTGGGTTGCTGTTAAGAATGTTGCACAAAATCATGTGCAGAGGGGAAGTGATCATAGGGGCTAGATGATTGGGGAATGAATGCCTCACACACAAAATATGGCCTGTTAGTGGCAAAATCTGAAAGGCTTCAATGCATAGGGGAGGGTTTTGGGTGGGGGAGGTGGGAGGTGACCCATGCTGTAGTATAAGAAGAATCTCAGGTGTAGGAGCTACTCAAGAGGCCATTCTGTGCAGAGAGACTGAGGAAGTACCCAGGACATGTGCAATAGTATTTGGTAGGTAGGTTGTGCTGTTTGTGATATTCAGCAATAAACCAAGTTTTAGCTGATTTCTGTAGGTTACAGTTACCAAAGATTTTTAAGCAAGGTGGAAAAGCTTGTGTTCAGACATACCTCCATATACTGCTGTAGAATCTTCAAAATTCTCTTCTCTCAGTTTATGCTGTTCTATTATTCTTTCTTGTGTAACCTTTCCTTTTTTCCAATAGGTCACTGCTGTCTGTTCTGATGTATTGTTAATTCTTTGCTCTTCCTTTTCTGACCTCTCTAGAGCCTAGAAGAGGAGATAACATCAATTTTGTTTAGTGGAAAGGGCTTTTCTGATAGCATGAAAGCCACCTTCCTTTCAGCCACCACTTGGACAGCAGAGGGCGCTCTTGTGAACCCTAATGCACCTCCTAGAGAAAAGCTTTCCTCCTCGCCCTTCTCACACTTGCCAGAGGTGCATTTTACTTTGTTTCCCCTGTTACTAAAAGCCACATATGAGAATGATTTTAATTTTTTGAATATTCAGGCCTCCTTCCCTCCAGTGCTTTCACTGGTGAAATTAAAACTCTCTGGGAAAAACATTCAAGGAACAGTGACAGAATTTGGATATTAGGAAGAGAAATAGATTGGATGTTTCTACTGATACTTTTGGTCGAAAACAGAAACAAAAATTCTGCCTAAATTCAGGGAATCATTTAAATTATGATGGCCTGGAGCCTGAGGTATTARGTAGAAGGAAAGCCTCAACTAAGGAGAGTTCAAGTTTTCAAATCCAAATCTTGGGCATCTTCTGAGGTTCATTTTAAAAATTCTGTTTATATGAACAGCAGGCACTTCAAGTTTTTTTATCAGTGAAGTCATTGTTTTTGAATGACCTTAAGGGGTTCTCTGAATTTGAGCAGAACATATCCAGCCATTTGAGTTAACTAATAAATAGTAAGAATAATTCATTTACTTGTAGTAATCATTAAATGTCTGATTTAGAAGTATTCTGATCACTTGATATCTTTATTTATACAGGAATTTATAAGTAGTTAAGTGTTACCTGCTTATAAAAATAATATCAGAGTATTTTTTCCATTTAATGTGTGAAACCTCCTGGTTTTCAGTAAAACTGGAAGGATGATTATCTTTGTTCTGTTGGTCAAATGATTTATATGGTATGAATTTTGAGCAACTCAAATATAACTTTACCAGACATTTAAAAATAACAGAACAGATCAAAAAGAGCTTGTGAGTATATGTTGAAAGATGCTGTGGACAAGTGTGCCATTTGAGCACCTTTAGCTCTGGTTGTCCATGTTGCTGGGGCAGATGAGTGTGAAATCTCAATATCTGTTACCACAGTTAGCCTTGGCAGCTTCACAACAATGTCCAGAGGGTTCAGAGGCACACAATCAAAAAAAGAAGAAGAAGAATGTAAGGAAATTTGAAGCTTTAAAATGAATTCCTGTTTAAGAAAGAAAAGTTTCTACCCTAGCAAATAATACCACAGCACAGTAATTTTTACTACCCTATTTCACTGCATAATTGTTGCAAATTTTATGCCAAACATTTTTGGTTTTTACCAAAACAAGTAGGATGAAATCATTATATGAAGCTGTTTTATTTTTTAATTGTGCTGGCATTGCTTAAAATTATTTATGGAATTGTCTTTGGTGTAAAATTAGTATTCATAGAATACTTGTGAATACCATTAATGCAGTGGCAACAATTATGTAATGAAACACAATATTAAAATGTTCAGTTGACAAGTATTTGTCAGACATTTAGATATTGTATTACTCAAACAGAATAAATTAATTTACTCCCAAGAAGATCATGTCTCTAGGGAMTAGGAATGAACCTCTCCAATAATAAAGTCGATCCATTTCAGATTGCAAAGATGCTAGTGAAGGAACTAAATCCTAAATGAAAGTACTTGGGGCTGTCATTGACATCTGCCCTCATGTATAATATTTGCTAATCTATAATACAAATTGGGATGTTATTGACAGTCTTTGAAATGAACATTTTTATTTTGATAGCTATCTGAAGCCAACTATAATTTTGCCAATAAAGCTATTTTTTAAAAGTATCAGCAAATAATTATAGGTACCATTTCCTTGAATGCTACATTTATTGAGGAGTCAAGGTTCCAGCCTGGGTTCTAGAGTCTGATTAAAGCCCAAACTGTTGAGTTTCACATATCTCTTTAAGTGCTCAGTAAGCTTTTATACACACACACACACACATACACACACACACACACACACACACACACACACGACACTTTACATAAGTGGTACTTGTAGGTATAAATTATAAATAAAAAAATTTTGTTTCTTGGGAGAATGCTGGTTGTTTTTGTTCGTTTTTATATGCGTTTTGGCATTTGTCTTGACTGTCCTCTGTGTGACCTTGAGCAGAGTTTTTTGTAGATGTTCATTCTTGCTGTTCTGTGTTGTGGTGTCAGATGTCTGTTTTGGCGGTTGTTGAGGTAACTCCTTATTGATTTGTGTCCTTGGTTGCTTTTTGTTCCGCAGACACGTGCTCCTGCGTCAGAAGGTCCTTGCACTGGAGCCAGGGATGCTGTTAAGGTTCTCCCCTTTTCCATGTTAACACATTGCCTGACACCTCATCCCCTCACGTTTTCCCCTGCTTCCCTTTCAGTCAGCCATCATAATCATCTTTGTTTTTCTCCATGACATGAATCTGCCATCACTTAATTTGGGTTTCCGTTGTTTTTGTTTATTCATATATTTTTGTTTTCCCTCATCCATCTTTTTTTTTGTACAGAGTTCACATGAGACTCTGAATGTAGTGGAGGAGAAGAAGCAGGCAGAGGTTGGGAAAGACGAAAGAGTAATCACAGAAGAAATGAATGGTAAAGAGATATCACCTGGGAGTGGTCCTGGGGAGATTCGTAAGGTGGAGCCTGTGACACAAAAAGACTCCACCTCCCTGTCTTCTGAGAGCAGCAGCAGCAGTGAGAGTGAGGAGGAAGATGTGGGAGAGTACCGGCCCCTCCACCATGTGACCGAGGGCACCCTAAGGGAAGAGCAGGAGGAGTATGAAGAAGAGACGGAGGAAGAGCCCAGCGGAGCAGCCAAGGTAGTAGAGAGGGAGGAAGCAGTGCCTGAAGCCAGCCCTGGCAGACAAGCAGGTGCCAGTGTAATCACAGTAGAAACAGTGGCCCAGGAAAATGTAGTTGCCCAAAAGATATCTGCAGAGAAGAGTATAAACGAAGGCACGGTTAAGCAAGACATGGGAGAAGAAACAGAGGAAGAGCAACATAAAGTTAACGGAGAGGTGTCTCATGTTGACATTGATGTTTTGCCACAAATTATTTGTTGTTCAGAGGTAAATGGGAGTTCCAAGCGGGAGCTAAGCTATAGAGCTATTTCTCAGGTGGGAAACACCTGCCTTTCTTCTTCGCCTGTCTTCCCAATTCTTCTTCAGCTTTTTCAACAAGAATTTTTCTCTCATGGGAAGAAGGGGGAAAGCAATGCTTGTAGATTTTCTGCCAGCTCAGTTCATGGTTTCTAGCTTCTCTACTGCCACTGGATCACCTGTAGGGTAAACTTTCCTACAATCACCTCATCATTTTTTCCTTGCCATTGCATATTTAAATTTTCTTTGCATGTTTGGAATGCTCTGAACTGTTTTGTCTTTATTTGCACTGCTTCCTCAAACTAAATGCCTTTTCCCTCATTGGTTTAATTAGAAAAATGTATTTGTAATGTTGAGAAAATGGTCAATGTGAGTGTGTGTGTTCCTGTCGTCAGATTGGATTTGACTTTTGGACTCATTCTTGCTCTTGAACTAAAGGTTTTTAGAACTGACGGCAGGCTCTGATTACTGTGATGCTCTGAGTGCAGTATCCTGCAGTGATGAGAACAGTATTTCTTGAATGCTGCTGTGATTTCTGTTTTTAGATTCCAGCGATTGCATGGTTTGGTTAAGAACTTTTTCCTTCCTTCTAGGCAGCCAGAGGCTAAACTGTTCAGTAGTAGAAGGAGGGAACCCTTCTCTTCTTGTTCTGTCCTTATATCAGCTCTTTGCAAATTGATTATATGTTTTGTGAATTATCTACATTGGATATGAGTGTTCTTCTTTTCTCTTTAAGAAAGAAAACTTTCCAAAGTCCACTTCGATTAACTCTTGGTCATTAGATGCAATGAGTTAGGCTGAGGGAGGGTTTACTTCCATGGAAATGCTTCTCAATTCTAAAATGCCCACGGTATAGGGATTTATTCATATTCACTCTGATGGGTAGAAAATCTTGAAGTGACTGTTTTGAAATGATTAAATGGATCTTTACTATGTCACTTTTAAACTTTGTGTTTCTCGTCAGAGAAGATGTTTTAAGAGTCTTTGATTATTTTCTGCATTTGATATATGGTTGTTCCTCTTTAAATAATTATACCTGTTGGGAATTTTCTCTCAGAGAAAGTACTGTAGTATTTTAGTATTAGGATCATAGCCTGACATTGTACTTTATATACATGCTCAACAGAGTACACTGTTAAAAGACCATTGAACCTCTACTTTCATGTTTGAAATTGTTTAAAGTGTTACTATAACATTAATAGAGAAATTTTAGACATAACATTTTAACATGTAATACAGAAGGAACACTGCAAATTTTAGGCTATGACAAACGAAACAATCACTCTTGAAGATATCCTTTCTGAAAATGGTGTCTTTTGGGGAGAAGAGCACATCTTTGTCTACCTAGCTGGCATGCTAATTAAAAACAATAAGACTTCATATAAACCCTGTGATGCTTTAAATTGCTGTAGCAATCAAGATTATTTCACTTTGAGTCATTTTCAAACTTTTTTCAATATTATCATTACTTTTCCAAAGTAAAGAATATACGTATATCAGTGTAGTAGTTAAGGGCCATCATAATTTGAAGAATAACATGATTTAAGGAGTTATCTATTAGCTTATTTTTTATATATGTACACATATACACATACCAACATGTGTATGTGTGTATATGATATATTTGAAGGAAAGTTTTTCTTTCATATCTTTTGTTTGTTTTATGTTATTTTTTTCCTTTGTGCATGAGTGTATGTTTGGATGTTTCTTAAACAATTTATTTTTGAAGGTTCCTTTAAGTTCTTTTACTTTATTACCTCTAGAATTTATTTTTCCCTTCCTTTTCCACCCCAGCCACCAGTGGTAAAAACAGAGATGGTAACAATTTCTGATGCCTCACAAAGGACAGAAATCTCCACCAAGGAAGTCCCTATTGTCCAAACTGAGACCAAAACCATCACATATGAGTCTCCACAGGTACAAAAGCTCAAGACTTGGACTGTTTGAGTTCTTCTTTACTTAGTATGTCTATTTCTGTTTTCAGTGTCTTGTCATTTACATATTCCTGACTTTGACTTAGCTTTTCACATCTCCATTTTGTAACTGCTCCCCCAACAACATTGCTATGTTGCTCTCAGATTGAGACAGAGAGCTGCAATCAAATTGGCGACCCAGTATATTTATTTAGAATAAGCAGTGTGGATTTCATATGTATTATTGTAAGGCATTTCTGGCTTGTGTCCAGAAATGTTTGTATACACTTGGAAAATAGATTGTCTTGTGAAATTTACTGAATCTGATATATTTTGTGGTTTAATAGCAGATGGGCTTTTTTCTTTGCTCTAAATTCCATAAAAACAGATCCAGTCAACTCACTATCATACAAGTAACACACATATGCACACACATACTCTCCCTCCTTCTTCATGTTGGATTATTTTCTTTTAGACATATGTAGTCATTTATATATGACCTGTGATACTGTGTCTAAATAATTATCAGATTTATGTATTTGATTTTATATATTTAGACTTCTTCTGTAAAGATTTTAAATAAGCATTATGATGTCTAAACTTAAGAATAACAAAAAAGGAAAGTGTTCATCATTTCAAAATGAACTGTTTTAAAATATATATGATAAATATTTTCTCTACTGGAAAGTTTGACCTTCTAGGTGGGATTGTGCCAGGTGGAGCATGGCAGGTTATTGCCCTCTCCAAATATTTATTCTGGGAATGTAGCTCAGTGGTGGAGAACTTGCCTAACATGCAAAAGTCCATGAGTTCAGTACCCAGCACCACCGAAAAGGTTTAATGTCTTCATGAGTGGAACATTTTCTAAAATTACTCATTCATGTGTGCATAGATTCCATATAAGCACAAACAGGTTTCTTATGTGTATGTGTGTTGGGAGCATTACTCATGTATCTTTACTGCGGTAAGTACCTCATAAAGAAATACAGGTGCCCAGAGCATATTTGAGAGAAATTTCCTCTTACCTTAGTCAGAAAGGCTTTAGATTTTCCAGTTATTTCTTGTGTCAGATATGTCACTTCTATGTTAGAAATCAGAAGGCAGATATGTTTGATATAACTTAAAGTGTTAGGCTCTTAATTTCTTTGCTCTGGTAAATTCTAGAACTTTCTACCTCTTCCATTATCAAGCAAATTAAAATAAAACCTATTTTAATATATGCATGGAATTTATATATGTTATATATGTAGAGAGAGAATGCAGACATGCAATATTGAAATATGTACCAATATGTATACTCTCAGCACACGAGCTATTATAGCAACTGTGTAGTTAAAAAAAAAAAAATCTAGAGATAAGCAGATAACCAAATCACTGAGGCTCAGTGTCTCTTGGGCTCTGTTGCTTAGTAATCTGAGAAAATGTTTATCTATTTTTACCCACCTGTGCTTAAAAGACAATAACAAACTCAGCACTTCTGGTCACTGTGGAAACTTCCCTGCCTGCCTTTCTAGTTTTCTTTTCTAGCTTCTGCAAAAGTTCCTCAGACAAATTCTCTTGAGTCCTTTGTAGCTTTCCCTCCCACCTTCTACTTCTGCTTTCTACCCACAGGGTTTGCTGCTCCATTTGCACTTAGCCTTTGCCTCTCCTCTGTTTTAAATGCCAGCCACTCTCCTGGACCGTAAATTACCACTACAGACACACAAAGGATAGGCGGATAGCATCTTCTGCAGACCATATAGATTTTTAGAAGATGCATATTCAATGGGGAGGGGTTCTCTGACAACATGATGGAAGTTAAGCATTACTTTGTATTTTTCCCTCAACTATCCAAAGATTGATGGCGGGGCTGGTGGTGATTCGGGCACGTTATTGACTGCACAAACCATCACATCTGAGTCCGTGTCGACAACGACAACCACACACATCACCAAGGTAAAGCAGTCCAGGGGAATCTAGGGAGAGGATGGTACATTGCAAACAGGATCTTTTCTGAATCGTTTCTTTGTTCCTATACTCACCTCCAAGTAATACACAGACAGTGCCAGTGGAATAAAAAATGCCTTGATTTAAATTAACTGAGAAATTAGCCTCCATTGACATGTATTTAAACCAAATTCCAATTTTTTAAAGTACAAGGGGGTAAAAATATCTTATGAATGGCTATAGTTAAGATGGCTACAAGAGCAGAGATCATTTGATAAACTGTAAAACTTCCCTTATTTCTTTAAGATGTTAGTATGTCAGTTTGGGGGGCATTCTCCCAGATCATTCTCCAAGTGTTTTAACACCAAATTACCAGGCGGTCCCTGGCTTGCCAGCATAAATACCAATGCCCCCTTCAGACGTAGAGAAACCCAGAATTATTTTTAGGAGCTTCTAGGTAATCAGATTTCTATCTTAAATCTTATTTTCTAGTATTTCCTTTCACTTCTACTTTTCATATTTGATTAATTTTTAAAGGTTTTAAATGTGTCCCTTGTGCCCCCCCCCGTGTTCTTCAATTCATCAATAATGAAGAAAAAAATCAAAATAAGAACACACACAAAAAAGCTGTGTATATTAAAAAATGCCACATAAATTATGCCACCAGTGCTCATTTTAAAGCATATCAAGTTACTAATGTTAGTGGTAAGTCTTAGAGTAAAAAGCCATCACTTGTGACTTTGTTAGAGTTGGCAAGGATGGATGTGTTTTTTCAGAACCATGTGGTATTTTCCCATTGTCTCTATTTAGAAGGTCACAGGCAGTTGATCTCCTAAGCCTGCTCCAGTCCATCCCAGTGCTCTCAGGTTACACCCAAGTCAGTAACTGTGAGCAGTTCACCCAGGGTCTCCGTCCTCCAGGTCTTACCTTACCTTTGCATAGCCATGCTCCATGTCCCTAAGGTCAGTCACATGCATAACTGAGATCAGATCACACATTTAATGAAAACCTCAATGTCTTCCCTGTCTTAAGCCAAATCCAAGTCCTATTTTGTATTGCACTAAATAAAATGAACAGAATTACTAAATGAATTTGTATGATTAGAACCAGGCAATGAAAACTATAATATCAAACAGTTTCCTGAATCTTAAAACTGATACCAGAATTGTTAAAATTACTCTTAAATCTACAAATACCAGTTATTTCTTCTTTCTATTCTCCCTTTTAAAAACTTTCAGTTGGGAATGAAGAAAACCAGGAAATTATAACAGAATATCTCAGTCAAATTACTTGGATTAAATGATATTTAGCCTATCTTAATCTGCCCTGAGTCTTGATAAGTTAATTTTAGGGTTGCTTTCAGTTGAGGGATACTTATGGATGCTATAACTTTAACAATAGATTTCTCTATTGAACTTAATAATACAGGAAAGTCAGTTTCTAGAACATCAGTCTTCCATCATTCATTGTGCATGGCTTTATGATGAACAGAAGGTCAAGGTGGGTTCCCTTTTTCTTTTCTCTGCCTATGTAAACATGCTTTAGTCATTGCTGTTCTTTTTCTTTTTATGACTTTTAGACTGTAAAAGGTGGAATATCTGAAACAAGAATTGAGAAACGCATTGTGATCACAGGAGATGCAGATATTGATCATGACCAGGTAAAGACCTTAGGTTCTAGTTCTAAAAGCGACTTTACTTATTTGCTAAGGTTTATGTCTGTCATTTTCTCACATTCCTGGGTAAACATCTTCTCCCAGAACTTCATAGATGAAGTCCAACTCCTAACTTCTACTTTGCAGCCTGTACATAACCTATCCTTTTAGCTTTTCTAACTCTGAGTCAGCATAAAGTGTGAATGGCTACTCATTTCCCACTGGCTTTATGTGTACTTTAGAGTCAAAGTCATCTGAAGGATTTGGGGCAACCATTAGGTATTCATGTGGGCCTGGTTTAAAGATAAGTCACCAAATATTTTTTTTAAATGTCAATTTAATGACGATGACTTCTGAAAAATGAAAAAAAGCCACTTTTGATGTATTTTTAAAGGAATGGTTAGGTGTCTTTTGTAGCATAAGAAAAGTTGGACTATTTACCACTAGTTGTTTTTCCTTATTTATTACTTCTATTGGAATGGAGGAAGGAGGGGAAAATAACTTAAGATCTCATACAAAGTAAAAATTTATAGTTATTCTGAAAAGTTTTAAGAGGAATTATGTTTCCATTCTATATTAAGATTGGCATAACACAGGGCTTTAAGTAAGCAATGAATGGAACCATTGGAGATTTGATGAGTAGCTTTAATTTTAGATTACAGTCATAACTGATGGTTTTATTTTATTTTGTTTTCTGAGTGATTTTAAAAGGAGGCTATTTTACAATGACTTGAAGCATGGAAAAGAATGGTTCAGTGGACCATTTCAGCTGGGCTGTAGGAGCAAATAATAGTTATTCAACTTTGTATACAACATTGAGCTCAGGAAAGAGAATTTTGGAGAAAGAATTTCTTGCTTGAGAAAGGTTCTGTATGTGACTAGAGAGAAATGGATGTTTTTCAGGCCTACAAAGAAAATGACTCCTCATTTTTTTTTTTTGGCCTTTGTAAGCATTATTTTATTTACATAAGTCATAATTTAAAAAATTTCCTTGAGTGTTAAATCTTGATTCTGGGTTTTAACTGAGGTGCACAAGTTCCTAGGAGATGACTACTATTACTCCACCTTGGGAAAGAGGAAACCAAGCCTTCAGCTTCCCATAGAGGGTTCTGTTTTACTGCTGCTGTTCACTGGGATAGTTTTGAGTTCCCCACTGTGAAATTGTAGCAGAGCTGATTCTTAACTTTTTCCTTAGAACTCCTGCTCAGTGAGCAGTTCTTGAATTCCTATAGTGTGCTAGGCAAGAGCCCACATTTGTTGGCATGGTAGAAAGTAAAATTGGAATGTCCTCCCAGCAATTGTCTCTTCTGTCCCACTGAACCTCTAGGTCTATTTAGACTTTAGCATACCACTTTTCACAGGTTTACTCTCAGGTTTCATTTTATGGTCCCCCCCCCCCCCCCCCCCCGTTGACTATTTTACATGAAAACTTCAATCCAGGTACTGCTTCAGAAAGGCAGATAAACAATCTGAGGCATAAGCACCAAAATAATACATTTCTAACTCTTAAGTCACAGTGATACTACAGCCTTAACTGTTGCTGCAAAGACACACATCTCTTTTGTGCAATGATATAATGCATGCTTCAAAAATAGTGTTCAAATATCCAAATAAAGAGAGTAGAGGCTTAACTTTTTTATGTTTAAAGGTAAGCATAAACTTAGAGTAAAATTGTTTCTTCCCATACATTTGTCACCACAGGCTCATGATAGATTCTCTTTCTTCCTAAATTGAGATGATAGAACTGTTTTTATTTATTTATTTATTTTCAGTAATCAAATCAATGAACAACTTTAGTTTTTTTAAAAAAATTTTTGTTTTAATTAGTTATACATGACAGTACAATGACTTTGATATATCATACATTTGAATCAGATGGGATATAATTTCTCATTTTTCTGAGTGTACAGGTTGCAGAATCATATTAGTCATGCAGTCACATATATATACACAGTAATAACCATTACTGGTGCTATTAAAGAAAATCTAACATTTCAATTGAGAAGAATAGTAATTATTATTTACTCATTAAATACTATTGAAGTTTTCTTAAAACAGAACTTGAAAATATCCAGCATGTTTCTTCAATTTCAGAACAATGGGTTCAAGACCAAGTATACAGGCTACACGCATCAAATCAGATTCCAAATTGTCGTCGTCTCCTCCTCCTCCTCCTCCTCCTCCTCCTCCCTTCCCCATGTTTTCTTTTCAATGCATTTGATGATTCATTGGTAGTGTTTTGTGATGATACCATGTTAGTGGTAATATCTTATTCTGTGTTTTTGGACCCAATTAATGGTGGCTCAATCAGAACATTCTGAACTGCTGATGTTGCGGGGTCTTGAGACTTTTATAGCAGGGGACTGTGAAGCAGACATCTGTACTGTAAACCTCTGCCCTGTTAGCGACATTGGAGTCTCTACTTTAGTTGAAACAAACCTGGTTTGGGGGGTTGGTGTGCCTCATATGGGAGTACTTGGTCTGCTAGTAACACTTAATTGTGGAACTGTTACTCTTCCTGCAGAAATATATGCTTTGTGTTTCTCTTTCTTTCTTTCTTTTTTTTTTTTTTTTGTAAAGACTTGAACCTATAGTTTGGAGCTATTAAGTACTATCTATCAGGAGGCAGTTTAGGACCTTGGTTTGACCAGTGGCAAAGGTATTTGATTTCTTTGCCTTGCAATATCTAATAAAAAGTCTCTTGGGGGAGGAGACATAAAAGACTGGTCAGCTTGACACTGGATTTCCAATTGCACATCATCTACATCAACAGTAGATTTCTTAGCATATCTGGAACAAAGTTTAGCATTATCTAGAATTGTGGTCACTTACCGGAAGGCAAATTCCAACATCTGATTTATAACTCTTGGCTCATCTTCTGTAATCCCCATATCCTTCAGGATTTGTGCCATCATCTGTGCATCTTTCAGCATATTCTTGGGAGACATCTTGCCAGACTCCATGATATCTGGTGATCAACCTTCTAGAGCTAAATTATCCACATTAATGTATTTCATTCCTGATCTTGGTGCAAGTTCTTTGCCTAGTGTAGTGTTTCTAACCCCTGGAGTACCTGGCCTTTTATGGCATGTTTCCATTGCATGATCAGATCCAGAGGCACAACTGTGGTCTGCATTTTAGGTCAGGCAGTATGTTCTATGAAGCTATTTTTAAATGAGTAATAAGCTCCGCTGTTGAAAACTGATATTGATCTTGTATTAATTTTAATACCATTAGAACCCTTTTGAGTTCCTTGTCTACATTAAAAGGAATTTTACTAATGGATAGAAGTCTTCATCTCAGAGAAACAAATGTCTTATTAGCAAATTGGAGAGGCATGTTTTTAGGAAACCTGGTTTGTCAGGATACTTAGATCCATACCAGGGAGGGATGAACTAAACTGTGGTTGCTCTTCAGAGTTTATTTCTAATAAAATTCTCATTTTGGCAGTACGATGTGCTGCCAAAATAATGTTTTATAGTATTTAAGTTCTTATGCTTACATTATGAAATGAAAGGAATTATGACAAACTTGATTTCAAATGTATTTGAAAGCGATTGGGGCAGTTTTTTCTTTCTCCCTATTTTGTTTTGTAGCTTTACCATTTTTTAATGAAGTGAAGTATAGGGTTTTACTTAGTAACCTCACAGCTGACAGGACCAATAATGCAAACAAAAGTGCTATTTAGGCAAGTGGCAAAACAGAAGGAAAACTTGCACTGCTTTTTTTCAAGTGCATATTTTCTTTGAGATAAGCTGTTTTCTGTCCTAGGAAAATTTCTTTTCTTCTTTCAGGATTATTTCCAAGAGTTTGTCATTCTGTGGTGTTTTGTTTTCTTTTACTCTCTCCCAGAACCTCTTTATAATTAAAACTAGCAATAATTAAGAAAAATGTATTATCCCTCCGAAAAACAGGATGTTTCCCTATTGCCACAACTTTTTTAAAATAAACTTTACTTTCTGATAAGCATAAAGAAACTGCTTTGTCATTGCCTAGTTCAGGAAGAGACCATCAACCACTGGAGTCAGCATTCCCAGTCCTCTCTTTCCCTGCCATTCCCAGTCCTCTCTTTCCTTTCAAATGCATTTATCACATTTTTATATGGCCTTGAGAAAGATCCATTAATCTTCAGGCCTTAAGATTTTTCACCTACAAAAGAGGGACTTGCACTTGATAATCTAAAAATTAGTCTATCTGTTCTGTAGCTTAACTAATTATATGTGATTAAGTTTATATATACTTTCCCTGCAGCATCTTAGTTCAGTGAACATTTTAGTTCATAGGTGTCTGAGAGGAGGGCCAAGATAAGCAGGCCTGGTTCCATACTTTGGAGTTTCCAGTAATTATCACTTTAGTGTATAGATAAGGCACTATTCTAGCTGCTTGACATCATTTCTTAAATTCATACAACAAACCTTAAAATAATCTTTACAACCTTAGCATTATTCTCAGGTTACTGGTAAAAATACAAAAGTTCAGAGAAGAGGCATTTTCTCAAAATCTCCTAGTGAGTACAAGCCTGGGAGTTAAAGATATCATGTTTCTCCTACACATCCTGTCATTACAAAGTGGACTAGAGGAATGGGAAGTTTGGGAATACGAGAAGCATATTCATATAAAATGAACAGTGATCTCAGTTTGAATCTTCCTGCTTTTTTAAAGAAATAAGACTATTTTAGCTTGTATCGCAGTTCCAGTTGATGAACATGCATGAGTTTTATCATCCTGAGGTGGAGCCACTCATGACTGTTTTCTCTTCTGACCTTGGCAGGCATTGGCTCAGGCAATCAGGGAAGCCAAAGAGCAGCACCCTGACATGTCAGTCACAAGAGTGGTAGTGCACAAAGAAACAGAACTGGCAGAGGAAGGGGAAGAATAAGGTAAGACAGCCTGCTTTGCTTGTGGCCTTTCTTGTGACTGTTCTGATCCTGGGAAATATAGTTTTGTATTATTGTGTCTGCTTCCTATACTGTGTGTGATTTTTTTCAGATTCTTATTAATCCCCAAGTGTATCTGCTTTGGTATCTATAATTATAAAATCTGTGGCCTGTAGGTATGTAGTGTAAATAACTATGATTTAGTTAGTGGCTGCAAAAATTGATTTTTATGTGTTGCTTTACTCTATTTATTAAATGTGTTAGTGTATGTTATATTAATTTATGTTCACAATGATCCTTTGGGAAAGGAGCTGTTACTCCTATTACTACTACTACCACCACTACTACTAATTATTGTTATTATTATTATTATTAGTAGTAGTAGTACTGGGGATTAAACCCAGAGATGCTCAACCACTGAGCCCCAGCCCCAGCCCATTTTTAATTTTAATTTTTTAATTTTAAGACAGGGTCTCACTAAATTACACAGGGCCTTGCTAAGTTGCCGAGGTTGGCTTTGAACTTGTGATCCTCCTGCTTCAGCTTCTCTAGACATTAAGAATTATATTAGAATGAACCATAAAGAAAAAAATTGCTTTCACTATGTAAAAATTGAAAACTTTAGTTGAACTAACAAGTTTAGGATAAATGATAAAGCTTAATATGCCTAGAATAGAAAGGATTAATATCCTGAATATATTAAGAACTTTGTTAAGAAAATTTAAACACTTTAGTAGAAAAATGGGCAGAGGATTGAGCAAGTTAACTATGTAAAAACTAAGTGAACAATAATCAAACTGTCTAGCCTTGCTATTTCTTAAATCAGTACAAATTAAAAATTCAGTGAACGAGTTCTCATGTACACATTTGGCAAAAGTTGTTTTTATCCAGTGTTGGGAAGGTGGTAGGAGGAAAGTACATGTTGTATAAGTTAATAGTATTTTCTGTAGGACAGCTTGGCAAAACATAACTTAAAATATTTGTATTAAGCATACCCATCTTTAAACTAGTTTTAAGGATTTATCTTAAATGATTAGAGGTGTTTACAAAGTTTTCTAACAAATGCATTTATCACATTTTTATATATACTAGCAAAGGATTGTCAATATTCTAGCTGGGTGTGGTACATGCCTATCTAGCTGAGGCAGGTGGATTGCAAGTTTGAGGCCAGCATGGGCTACTTAGACCCTTCTTAAAATGAAAAATAAAAGGGGTGGGGGTATAGCTCAGTGGTAAATCTCCCCTGGGTTCAATTCCTAGTCTCAGGGGTAGGGTGTAGGGGATCTTTAACAATCTAGATAGCCAGTAATAGGGGATTAGTTAGTAAGTTTTCCTGCTTCCATATGAGAACTAAGAAATTCTCAATGCAGTGAGTAAATGTTCATAATTATCTATTAAGAGTTTTGAAATGCAGGTCTTATCACACAGCATAGTAAGATTACTTTAAAAAATCTGCACATTAAAAAAAATCTATACATTTATCAGTTAGCAGGTGGGTAACCCACAGAACCCCACAAGAATGGCTGGGTCATAAAGCACACATTTTTCATCTTGCACTGAAAGACAAGGGAGTGAGGGCTTCTGCCATTTCACAGCTTCCCCTTGAGTTTTAATTTTTGCCAGTCTGGAGAATATGAAATGATATATAACTGTGATGATGACTTTCATTTTCCTTATTAATATCTTTTCCAATTGTTATTGGCCATTCATATTTTTTTCTATGACAACACAACCAGGAAATTTAAAACATTTCTGTGAAATCCTTATTCACCTCTTTGTACTGCTTTATCTTTCTTTCATTTGATTCTTGACAGATTTTAGATATTCTTTTCCAATTTCATGTGTTACAAATATCTTCAGGTTTGTGATGTGTCTTTCATTATCATTATAGTTAGACATAGTTATTACAGTTGGAATTTATCAAATTTTCCTTTTTTGAATTATGTCCCCCACCCCTTTCCCCTCATGATACTAGGGATTGAGTTCAGGTCCTCGTGCATATTAGGCAAGTGCCTACCACTGAACTATATCCCCAGCCCTATGAACCATATTATTTTTATACTCTGAAGTATCAAAAATATTTTCCTTCTAGAAATTTTTAACATTTTAATATATTGATAATTCATTTGAAATTACTTTTTTTTAATATCAAAACAGTGATCTATTTGTGGAATAAGTAGGCACTATTCCAGCACTGCTTATTGAAAAGTCCATCCTTTCCCCTTATAATCTGCATTGTCATATCTCAAGTCCTTTATGTGAGGGTGTGATTCTGGCACTCTGTTTCCATTGGTCTATTTATTTGTCTCTGTACCAGTGCCATAATGTCTTAATTACTCTGGAATTACATAATGGGTCTTGGTACCTGACAGTGTGTGTCCCCTACCTTTGTTCTTTTTCTTCATTTTTGGTTCTTTCTTTTCATATAAATTTCAAAATCAGATTGTTAGATTCTAAGATTAAGTCCTATTTTTTTGTTGTTGTTGTTGTTGGTGTTGTGTTTTGGTACTGGGGATTGAACTCAGGGACACTAGACCACTGAGTCACATCCCCAGCCCTATTTTGTATTTTATTTAGAGACAGGGTCTCACTGAGTTGCTTAGCACCTTGCCTTGCTGAGGCTGGCTTTGAACTCACAATCCTGTCTCAGCCTCCCTAGCTGCTGGGATTACAGGCATACACCACCATGTCTGTCAGTCCTATGTTTTGTTTGCAATGCTGAGGATCAAACCCAGGGCCTCTCATATGTTTTACTACTGAGGTTCAGCCCTGTGGTATTTTAACTGCAATTTCGTCTACTCTAGAATAGATGAAGTTGCAGTTATATTTACTTTCTATGAACATGAAATGACTCTCCACTTATGTCTTTTTTAATATCTCACAATTAAAGTATATAGTTTTCTAACTAGTTTCAGTCACAAATTTTTTCTAACTATTGCTAGTAGAAAGAGAGAAAATTGATCTTTTTATATTGATCTTATATCTAGTAACTTTATTCTTTATATTTTTAAATACAATTTCCCACACAGAGTATAATATTCAGTCACCTGAATGAATGCACTCTGTTACATGTGAATGCTGATTTTGTTTTTGAGATGTATTTGATTTTATATATGGAAAAGTGAGCATTCTTACCTAAAGACTGAGTTCCATATTTTAATCTTACCAGGTATCAAATCTAGTTGACATTGGGCACATGAGGGGAATAGTAAAGTCTACCTTTGCTAACTTATGGTACTTATTAAAAGGATATAGTAAATAAGGAGAAACGTGAGGGTTATACAATATGAGAATAGTTTTATGAGAATAGTTGCTATCTTTTCTCTAGTCACTGTTATGAATTTTACTTATTTTTTAATCAGGAATGATGAATGATCCCCCAAAACATTACTAATACTCTCACCTTCATTTGTAGCATTTAATAAACTTTAAAATGAGTTTCTTATAGTGTTTATTTCTAGTACTTTATATTTATTTTTTTGCAATGGACATACATACTCACAAACACAATTTTTGAAGTTTGCCTGTCTGTCCCATAGGCTCTTTTTTATGAGATTCCTTGACAAATGGATTTAGGAAATGAAAGTGAAAGTGTAAATTCACATACAAGGCAAGAAAACGAAATTGGAAAGATTTTTTAAAGATATTTAACAAGTACCCAGATATACTAAGATGGCCTGGGTGTTGAGGACTCAGTGGCAGACAAAACAAAGGTCATCCCCTTCCTGGATGAGGATATGATGCAGAAAGGGAGGTGTGAATGTCAACAAATAGACAAAATGTACTTAAAAATTTGATGTGCTCTGGAAGAAATAAAGTGCTATGAGAGAAAAAAATAAGGGATTTGAACTACCAAACTACTGTGAGTTCAACCTGTTACTTGAGAAACATGTTTGAGTTTGAAGTCTGAAGAATGACTAGGAATCACTTCCATGGCTCCAAGTCATTTTAACTCTACCTCCTAATCACTGCAGCTCACTCTGGCTGCTCATTTAGTTCACTTGTTTTGTTCATTTTTTCATTTGCTGGTGACCATCTGAGCAGGTAGGCTAAGGCAAAGAGCAGGACCAGGACAATAACTGAAAGTCAGAAAAGAAGAATAACTATTTGTTACATAACTGTTCTTTCCCTTTTTAAGGCATGTAAAGCTCCCCTGCTGAGCTGACCTTGCCCTTTGAAGTAACTCTGAGCTTTTGATCAAGCATTGGAAGTTGGGGAAAAGGAAGCATACAGAACGATGGTCAAGGAAGAGGCTGTCTGTTCTTTCTCAGCTGGTGGTGGTCAGCTCTAGGACAGTGAGGAATTTAATGAAAACTTTGTTTAAAGAAAAAAAGAAGGAAAAAACACTTCAGATGAGTGTTCATTTAGTCTTTGTGACTTTTTAAGTCCTTTCAAGAACTATTCCCTCTTGCCACTTTATCCCAAATGCATATTTATTTATGAACCCTCAAATGGAGATAAAATATTACCATAGTAGTACAATGATATTCTCAAATAGTCCTGATCAGAAAGAGTCCAGGCTTTCTGGTGTGGGCTTTGTTGTCTCAGRAAGAGTGAGCCACAGGAGAGGCAGGAGTTCATGACTCTGCTTCAGTTGGCATTACTAGGGCTCTGACTTGAGATGAGCTCCTCAATTCCTGAAGCAACCACTAATGTAAGGTGAAAAGTGAACTGAGCCCCCTTCATGTGAGAGCAATACACAGCCGAAAGATGTAATGGTGGAGGAGTGGCAGCTCATTCAGTTCACTTGTTTTATTCGTTAATTTTTTCATTATACAAATATGTATAATGGAGTGCCCATTGGTATCATCTACTGTTTTATCATGGAAATCTCAAATAAGATCTGGGGCCGGGGTTGTGACTCAATAGTAGGGCTCTTGTCAAGCATGTGTGATGTGCTGGGTTCGATCCCAGTACCACATAAAAATACACAAAATAAAGGTATTGTGTCCATCTACAACTAAAAAAAWTTTTTTTTTTTAAATCTGTGCTCAAGGACAATA